GTGATTTCTGAGATCGTGAAGAAGAAGCAAAATAGTAACCCACGCTACGCCATGACTGGCTATCCATTGCATCCATGAATGTTAAAATCTAATAGCAGCTTCATTAGTACCACGCCGCCAATAGAAACGGTCGCTTAACGAGGTGGTATACATCTTTGGAGAAAAGCGTCGGTTGCTGCTGCTTTAACATCAAAAGAAAATATGGCTACAGACTATCAATTACCTTACATGGATAAAGGTTAAACAAAAAGATGGGAATACGCAGAAGATACCAAATCCTGAACATCTATTGGTTTGCACAAACTTGACCCAGGCAGCATTCACCTTGACCTAATGGTAGCTAATGACAGGGCCATCCAAGTGGCGAAAGATTGTCAGTATTAAGTTTAAAGAACTGATCCAGAATAGGAAAGTAAGTAAGTAAGCTCCAACGGTCTGTTATACTCGAACCTTTTTTTAATTAAGATTTTGCGACACTGTTTTTCCGGTTGATAGACATTTTTCTTTTGTTTTCTTTGAATCCTGTTAATGAGTATCCGTGTATATAATTTAAACAGATGATTTAACAGCCTTTGCAATAGAAACTTAAGCTGAAGCTGATGTCGAAATTAGAAATGAATTTCGATGAGTTACTAACACTGAAAGCAATATTCGAATTCGATTCTTTTTTGTATGTTATCAAATCTGTCAAGTCTTCTATAATGAATTAAATCAATAATTCAACAAAATTTTGTAGCATGCTAAAATGATATATTTATGGTAAAGGGAATCTGGTTCCATGTTGGCTGCTGCGATCTTAGCTTTACCAACCATAACATCTCATACATTAGCGATTACAGGTTGTTGAAGGCAGTGGGTATGCCTTGATTGTTGGTATTAATATAAATTGCTTGATCATGTTTTACATTTAGTTGTATTTATTCTTACTATTTTCTACAAAATATGTTAACATCGGCATGCCAAAGACAAATATTAAATGATAGATTCGATTAAATTAATTATTTGCTGTTTGTAGTTTAACCAAACATTAAAAATTTTCACACACGTTTGTAATAACTAAAAAATGTGTGACGCTCAGTGTGTATCATATTTGGAAACAAATTCATCAATTTCTATTACTTGTGGGATTTTTATTGCACACCTAGTTTGGAAAATATTAAAAAATGTTTGGCATTGATAGTTATCGTAGTTAATTCATATTAAAAACAGTTCAACGACGGAATGATAAATACATGAAAATGATAAACCAACGGTTTTTTACTTTAATAATGTTTATTAGGAACACAGTTGAACAACTTTAAATAAAAATTATTTATGCGGAAAATGCAGTTGCACCACAACTAAAAAAATAAGCAATGTTGCCCGATTACTTACTCGGTTTTTTGTTCTATTTACCTAATATTTCAGTATAAAAAGACTCAAAAGAATCCCACTCTACTATTGAAAAAAATTCACAAATCCAAGGCAATAAAACTAACCTTACGAATTCTCCAATAACTTTCAACGATACAGTTGTATGTGACAGGCAAGTAGTTGCCGACGCACTTGCATATTATATCGAAGATAAATTCAATAAAAGTAATACGGCTTCTCTTATCCAATCAACAATTAACAATATTTCGTAGCAACTATATTTGACATCGAAGGGACTTTTGATTCTTCTTCTTCTTCCTATCTTATAAATAGGCTTAATGCCTGTTTTACTTCGGTTTTTAGCCTCAATTGACGTTGTCTGACCATCTTTTCCTCGGTCGTCCCAATGATCTTCTTCCATTTGGCGATTTGTCTCTTGCTATTCGTACTATTCTATTTTCTGTCATTCTTTCGATGTGTTGATTCCATTCAACTTTTCTTCTTTTGATCCACGCGTTTATTTCCTCTATACCACATCTCGCTCGTATTTCCGCACTTCTTACTCTGTCTCTTCTATAATGTCTTCATTTCTGTTGTTTCCAGCAGTCTTTGTGTTTTCGCCGCATCTGCTCTTGTTTCCGCTGTGTACGTCATTATTGGTCTTATTGTTGATTTATATATCCTGGTTTTCATTTCCGTTGTGAGTTATTTGTTCCTCCAGATTGTATTGTTGAGACATCCTGCTGCTCTGTTTGCCATATTCACTTATTTTTGTACTTCTTGTTCCACTTCTCCATAGCTTGACAGTTTTATTCCCAAGTATTCAGTTTCCATCACTTGTTCTATTATTTTGGTATTTACGACTAGTTTACATCGCATCGTCTCGGTTCCGCTGATATCACTATCGCTTTAGTTTTCTCTGTTGAGATCACCATGTTGTATATGAGCGCCGTATCTTCGAATTCATTAATTAATCTTTGTAGGTCATCTTCATTTTCGGCTGTTATTATGGCATCGTCGGCGTAGCATATTATCCTTATTTCGTTTTCTCCCATTCTATATCCTCTTCTTTTTTTAACTTTCTTTATGATTTCATCCATTATCAGATTAAATATTAATCGGCTCAGCGAATCTCCTTGTCTAATGCCAGTTTCATATTTGATAAGTTGCGATAGTTTTCCTTTACATCTTACCATAGCTATGTTATCTTTATATATATTCTCAATGGTTTTTACTCAATCCAGTGATATTTCCTTTTCATATAATAAATGTATCGCGTCCCGAATTCTCACTCTATCTTTCTTTTATTAGTCTTATTACAAAATCTGCATCCGTGCATGATCTTCCTGTTTGAAACCCTTGCTGTTCCTTTTGCAGAGATATTCATTAATTTATTTTTGTCGCTATTATTCTTGTTGTCAATTTGAGTGTTGTATTTAAAAGAAAAAGCTAGAAAAAAGTTCACAGAATTAGAGAACCACCCCAGTCACATTCTACGAGAGATAATGAGGTATGCCGCTTTCCACAGATGGAAGCACAAAAGACCCAAACAACAAATAGTAGATTAAAATAAAACCAGAGAGAGAAATAAAAAACCCCCCAGATGGACAGAATTCAACAAAAAGCCCAGAGTGAGAAGAAACTTTAAATCATACCACATACACAAGGAAGACAGTTCGTATCTCAAATCTCCCAGAATATCGCTTATCGCCTCATACACAGTGGGCCCAGCAGCTCAACTAGGATACAGTCTATATTGTGGTATCGTATAATATTTATATATTTTCTTTATTATAATATAGATTGTACACCAATTATGATTTTTTGTCCACAGGTCACCTACAAAAAAAATTACAAAAAACACAAAAAACCGGCTTCGGCCACCAAAAAAACTAACAAAAACCCCAAAACCCGGGCACGTAGGGCTCAAAACCCGGGCACGTAGGGCCCAATCTCCTTGAGCACCAAGTCGCCGAACTGAGCCGGGACTCAAAGCGGAGACTTGAGGCCCAAGTAAGCAATTTTAGTTCGCGGATAAGCCATATTAAGATAACAGGAATATAGCGGAGATGCGCTGTCCTGAGTTTTTGCATTCGGTTAGGAAACCATCACCACTATACAAACCAGAAAACTGGAATACCTAGGCCACGTGATGAGGGGACCAAAATATAAAATTTTGAGACTGATAATACAGGGAAAGATTCAAGGAAGAAGATCTGTTGGCCGAAGGCAGAACTCATGGTTAAAGAATCTACGTGATTGGTACCAATGCAGATCGATTGATTTGTTTAGAGCAGCAAGTTCTAAAATAAAAATAGCCATTATGATTGCCAACCTCCGTAGGGAGACGGCACTCTAAGAAGAAGAATTTAAAAGATTTATTGCTCGATAATTATTGGGGTCTTTCTTATCTCCTTTTTTGAAGAACATCACCATGATCGCTCTCCTCCATTCATTTTTTATTCTGTTCGTGGTGATTATTTTATTAATAAGAAGTTACAGTTGTTGTACAAGGTGATCACCTCCATATTTTAAGAGTTCATTTGGTATTTGATCTTCTCCTGGTGACTTTCTGTTTTTTATTTGTTTATTCCTTCTTTGACATAATTTTGAGAGATTTCGGTCTTCACTGATTAAAAGAAATCAGTAGTGGAATGCGTTACGAAATTATTTTTTCAAAGCAGTGTTAAACTTAATTGAAGGTGAACAGCAATAAGCGAGTGGTCAGAAAGATCCAGAGGGGAGGACACACTTGAGTTTATGATAAAGCTTTTAAACAAGTTTGGGGAATTGATAGAATCAGTTTTGGAAATAATGGGCCAGCTAATCTCTGGAAAATTGAAATCTCCAACAACAATGAGATTTTCAAGGGATAATAATTCCTCAAGTTTGTCAATAAGCTTATTGTCCTAAGTAAGTGCAGTATCTGGAGGTCGGTATATGCAAACTATATTAAATTTGAAAGAGGTATTGGTAATAAGTAAGTGGATAATTTCTATACCGGGTACGTCTATTGTTTTATTACTGATGGAAAAAGTATTAGTAACTTCATTATTTGCCAAATAGATACATACTCCTCCCCCTCGACGAGTACCTCTAAAATTATCAATGATTACAATACCATCGGAGATAGAAGAATTAAGCCACGTTTCTGTTAGGAGAATAATATGAGGTTTTCAAAGTTGAACAGTACTTATAAATTCGTTAAATTTGGACATAAGACAATTTACATTCATATACATATGTAAATAAATAAATCTGGTGTTCATTTTGAATTGATAAGAGCAAGAATAGTGTGAATGTTGCCTTAGAAAATAAATTAAATTTGGTTGAGATTTGATTATGTTAAAATAATTAAAATTAATCACCCAAAATGAACTTTTTGTCAATTTAGATGCCTATTTTTCACTTCTAATCGTGTATTTTATTGTATGTATCTGGTACAGAATCATTAATCGCTCAATCAGTGTCCCCAATCCAATAAAACAATAAAAAAGATTAAAAATCCATACAAAGTAGCTAATTTATACCATTTTTTGTACACGGACCACGATCTCTATTACAAAATGTTTATCAGGTATTATCTTATCAGCGTGATTTTGTAAATACAGACAATTAAATACGGACTATAGAAAGTTAATTGTCACTTTTGATTGAGCGCGGGTGGATCAGTGATAACACTTTTCTTCACAGGTAAGATAATATATTTGACAACGTTAAGTAAACAGGTTTTACATCAAAGATTGATTACTTAGTCGGTAGGGGGAAGGTTTTACATTAATATACTCTTATTAATTACGTCATTTATTTTTCCCTCCATTTTTTATCTTACATTTTTGATCTATTCTTTTATTTTGGGAACAGGAAATAATTACAGGTGATGATATCGGGACAATATAGTAGGTGTTTGATCAATTTCTACTTCAATGAGTGTAATTTTTCCTCTGCATTTTTTCAAATCGACGTCCAAACGGTCCATTAGATCTTCATTGTATAAGACAGGCAATATTTAAGAAATTGATGTAATGAACACATTTAGAATCTTAAAAGATAGTCATCGCCAACTTGCCTGGCCGATCCAGTAATCTTAACCTTCTTCTGTGACCATTAGCCGCTTTTTAACATTGCTTTGTCTGATCTTTTGTTGAAGACGTGTAGAAATATGGATAGATGTTTCACTAACTCACATTTTTTTGTAATTAACTCGTTTTTACAAAATTTTAGTTGTACGTTTCAGAGTGTTTAATGAATTGATACTTCTGTAGGTTTCTAGCTGTTTTAATTTTCTTCTTCTTCCTTTTTTTATGTGCCTATTTCTTCTTCAATATTAGTCTCATAAATTGTTTAAATTATCGCACCATTTTTTTCTTGGCGTTCTAATACTTCTTCGTCTATTTGGTGACTTATCTCGTGCTATTCGTACTATCCTATCCTCTACCATGATTCTACTTATATGTTCGTTTCACTCCTGTTTCCGTTTTAGTATTTGCATCTCTATTATTTCTAGTAGTCGTCTCGTTTTAAATGTGTCAGGTCTTGTCTCCGCCGTGTATGTTAATATAGGTCTAATTGTTGCTTTATTGATTCTTGTTTTTGTGTTTTGTCTTAGGTGTTTGTTCTTTCAGATTGTGCCATTAAGAGATCCTGTCGTTTTACTTGCTTTTAAGCTTTGTTGTCGTGTTTCTTCTTCAACATGTCCATAACTATAGTTTAACTAATGCCAGATATTTAAACCGTGACTCCTGCTTTATTATTTTTCCATCAATTTCAATTTTACATCATAGTGGGTATTTAGATGTTGTAATACATTTATTTTTTTCTGCTGATATTATCATATTGTATTTATGTGCTGTTGTATTGAAGATATGTGTTAATCTTTGGAGCTCGTCTTCTGTCTCGGCAATTTTTTAATTTTTTTCATTAATAGGTACTTTCAGTTGTTCTATAATGACTGCTGCACATTTTAACAGTACATTATTTGGTACCTCATATTTCACAGCTGCTAGATTCTTCGGCTTTTTTGTGATTTTTAAACTTCCTACGTACTTATTTTAACTTTTTATCTATATCTCTACATCTTCTAAATGTGCCTATCTTCTAGAGATGTTGCCGACCACATTAACCCATCTTATTGTATTCACAGCAGCTCGAAATAGATCTGTTCATGTTAGACTTCCTAAGATTGGAAGTTCCTAACTCTCTTACCCTCAATCTTGTTGTGTAGAATCAACTTTAGAAGTTGGTAATTATCATTACGCATGATGTTGCCGAAGTAAGTCAATTTTCTGTTTTTTATGGTGTTTAATAATTTCTTTGTCTTTTCTTAGACTCTGGAGAATAGTTATGTTACTTGTGTGGCGTATATATGAAACAATCAACATACGTCAGTAGCACTACATTTCAAATACCTTTAATGGTTTTATGCCATCTTCTGTAAGGCTTCAGCTTTCTACTCCATAGAGGAAGGCACTAAAGACGTAACATCTAAGAATTCTTATGCGTGTATTGATACTTAAAGATAAATTACAGATATTCTTCACTTCACTTCAACAATGTATCGTCTGCATATCTAATATTGTTTATAAGTTGGCCATTTACAGCAATCCCATCTTCTGATTCGTCCAAGGCCTCTCTAAAGATGTTTTCAGAGTATATGTTAAATAATGCGGGTGACAATATGCAACTCTCTAACTCCTTTTTTGACTGTGAAGATCTTGGACAGTTCATTTTATAATCGCACTGTTGCTTCTTGTTGAAGATATAAATTTGAGATGAGTGATGTTTTTAGGATATCTATTAGTTTCCCATGTGGGACTTTATCAAATGCCTTCTTGAAATCCATGAAACATGCTTACACATCGTAGTTGACATCCCTGGTTCTTTGTATTAAAACTTGCAAACTAAAAAGTGCTTCGCTCATTCCGAGTCCTGCTCTGAATCCAAATTGAACTTCACTCAGGTGTTCTTCTAATTTGGTGTATATGCGCGAGTGAATGATAGTATGGAGTACTTTAAGTACGTGGCTTATCAAACTAATTAATCTATGTTCTTCACATTTTCTAGCATTGGCTTTTATAGGAAGTGGAAGGAATATTGATATAGTCAGACAATTTTCAATTAAAGGTGACTAATCTACAAATTGAACTAAACGGTAGCGGCAACCATGAAAAATTTCATTAGTAAATTCTTACCGGGGTCATTTTTATTGTGTATGCTTCGCCCATGTAAATATGTAAATTTGTAACCCATGTAAGATAAATTTGCCCCCGTAACAATATAAATTGGTGCGATTCACGAGTGTATAGTGAGACAAGTTCATAGAATAGTTTGGAACATCGGTAAAATTATCAATATTTTGCTGGTCTATATATATCTACGTTTTTAGAAAGAATGTTAATTAGACAAATATGATATCTTAGTTTATTGAAGTTTATGAAATATGATATCTTCCAGATTTTATTCATATGTGCATGGGCGTAGAGTATTATTGGGAATATATTTATTAAATATACTTTATTATTAACTTTAAAATAGTTTTGAGGTAAGTAAAGAAAATTTAAGGTCAGTTTATTCTTAATATAGTATTAAACCCTTAACGGCCGCTTAATATACAAAGAGAAATTTGACAATTAATTTATTAGATTGGATTAAAAACACAAATTAGGAATAAATTACAACCAAAAAGATTTTTTTTTCATTTTTAAGGAAAACAGTACAATTTTTAATAAAGGAACATATTGTATCTTAAACGTAAATTAAATTTTAAGGTAAAAATTTTCGAAATATTCGGGGTGTAGATGCATTTTGCACTTTTTACATAAATAAATAGTATTACTTTTGTACATCCTACATTTTTGCACTATCATCTCTTTTTATAATGTGGCCAATATTGTCGAATCTGGTTTCATCCGGTAAAGCAAATTTAGATTGACGCCCATGTACTGACACTGATGTAGCGGTTTCTTCACTATTATAAATTAAAATTATAAATCTATGTCGGATGATGCTTTCTCTTATAATATGCACTTCTTTATCCTCATCTTTTGACCAATGCATATCAACTTGAAGCAGAGTGTAAACCAGATAATATACACATGCTAATAATTTTTTTAAATCTATGTTATTCATTTCAAAATTGTGAAGGTTATTCTCAATTACTTTTTTATCAAAAAGAGTGAAAAAACTTCAATATATGACTTGCCTACATGGTTGGCTTTTATATTGTCTAAATATCAATCAGACTGATGTTGAATTACTACTGAGCACGAAAGAATATCCGTTATTACAACTTGAGATAAATTTGGATTTACTATTTTTGCCTGGTTTTTTCTTTGGACGTTTTATCTGTGGTTCAGAGGAATATCAGAATCGTTAGAATTCCCAATCACTTATATTTCATATGTACCTGCAATATCCGATTTTATTGATTCTTCACAAATAATATTATCATCAATCTCTTCAGGGAATACAATAATATACCAGCAAACGAATGGGAAAGATACCTGACGGAACTGTTTAAAGCAAAGGAAAATAATAATCAGCACAATAACGTATCTGAACTAAGAGACGAAATAGAAATCAGTTTTCACGAAGTAGAAATAGTCATAAATTCACTCAAAAATAGAAAGTCACCAGGACCAGACGGAATAACCAACGAGCTTCTAAAATACGGATGAGAAAGTTTAACCCTAGAGATGACAAAACTTATACAAAAACTAATATTGCACTGCAAGATACCAGACGCATGGAGAAACAGCATAATGATAACAATGGTCAAGAAAGGAGATAAAGAAGACCCCAACAATTATAGAGGTATAAAACTACTGAGCACCGCACTTAAGCTTACCAAGTCCCAACCAACAAAATCAATAAACTAACAACTTTATCATATGTTAACCCTTGTGTAACAAGGATTCAGATCCGGATGATCCTGCGTAGACGCCGTATTTGTACTAAGACAAATCACAGAAAAGGCCGTCATATCTATGTTTTATAGACCTGACAAAGGCTTTCGATCGCATCCAAGTCGAAGACCTCTTATACCTACTGTATAAAAGGAACATACCAATCAATATTATACAAACCATCGAAAGCATCTACCTCCATAATCGAATACAGGCAAAGATAAATGGAGAACTAACACAGTGTATACCAGTACAAAGCGGAGTTAGGGTGACTTAATATAATAGTCACCATTAAGGAATATATTAATGGACTAAATAATACAAGCAGTACGTAAAAGTCATGGCTACAGAATTGGGAACAAAGAAATCCAAATATTATGTTATACAGACGACGCCGCATTAATCACCGAGACAGAAGACGAGCTCTAAAGATTAACACATATCTTCAATACAACAGCTAAGAAATACAATATGATAATATCAGCAGAAAAATACAAATGTATGACATTTAAATACCCACCACGGTGTAAAATCGATATTGATGGGAAAATAATAAAGCCAGAAGCAAGGGTTAGATATCTGGGAATAGATATAACTAATTACGGAGATGTTGAAGAAGAAGTACGACAGCAAAGCTTAAAAGCAAGTAAAGCGGCGGGTTTTCTTAATGACACAATCTGGAAGAACAAACACCTAAGACAAGACAAAAAAACAAGAGTCTATAAAGCAGGAATTAGACCTATATTAAGATACACGGCTGAGACAAGACCTGACACATCTAAAACGAGACGACTGCTAGAAACAACACAGATTAAAATACTTCGACGAATATCAAGGGGAAGTCTGTTGGATAGGAAGAGAAGCAAAAACATAAGAAGAGCATGCAATATAGAAGACAGAAATGGATGGGTGACAAAACGAAAACAAAAGTGGAACAAACACATCAGTAGAATGGCGGAGGATAGAATAGTATGAATAGCACGAGATAAGTCAACAAATGGACGAAGAAGTATTGGCAGACCAAGAAAAAGATGGTGCGACAATTTAAACAATTTAGGAAGCTAATATTGAAGAAGAAACAGGCTTTAAAGCCTACAGACTAGAAGGAAGAAGAAGAAGAAGATCAATGTCTTCTACATCAGAAACTTTCTAATCTAATCTCGGCGGCAAATAAACTACATTAAGTGGCATTTTCACAATCTGAGTCTTCTTCTAACAAAGCTATTAACTCTTTAGTAGTTAGTGCCATCTTCATTTCATATTTCGAGAATTTACTGAAATAAACAAATGCACTGCTATATAAACGCATTCATATGATAATAGTTTAGCTTACTTCATTTTAATTTATATGAACTTCATAATATATTTTCATATTTATATAAACAAATAAACATAAACAAACTTTCAAATTAAGTTAAAAAAAAAGAAATATAACGTTTACAGCACACAGCAATTCTATAAATAGAGAAAGATGTGTAATGATGTGTAATTAAAATTGCAGATTGTTTTTAGTCTAATGAAAAAAAAATTATTTTCCAAAGTTTTCTGTTTTTTGAAGTTCTGTATTAGTTACTCTCTAATAAGAATAAAATTTTATTTTATTTTGTTAGACAACTATAAAATACCTGTTAAAAGAGACATGATAATTTAATAATTAAAATTTTTTTTGGTACGCCTCTGCAAAATTGATAATTTCAACACGATTTCCTTGGAGTGATTTGGTGTGCCTCTAATAGCTTTAAAATTTTACCATGCACCTCATCAAGTCCTGGTAATGATCCATCTTTAATCCGCTTAATGGCCATAGTAACTTCTTCGTCTGTTATTTCTGAAATATCTGTAGAAATTGTTTATTTCAGTCGGACTTCGTGCTACATCTTCGAATAATTCTTGAATATATTCTTTTCATCTTCGTAATTTATCTTCAATGGTGACATATATGTGACAATCAGATAGAGAACTGCAGAGGCAAGGAACGAGGGAAATATTGCTCGTATCTATTTTATATGGGCTCGGTGGCTGCTGTCTAACGTACACCTCCAGATTTGCGGTATAAGGAAACTTAGCGCCTACTAATGCGTAGATTTTTGTGTCGTATTTATTGGGTTTATTAGGCATATATACCCTAAAGTCACACTTGTTACAAAAAGCTTACAGTTAGTCTACCGTTGTATATGCTGATAATGTAAAATATTTAGGTAAATTTGAATTAAACAAATCTAAGAATTCTCTTACAACTGCCAATTTGTCATATTTTTTCCTCTCTAATCGTGTTCGTTTATCATCAAAACAGGTGTGTCGGAGTAAAAACTTGAGCCGTGCAAGGGATCTTGTCAATCTAAAAATCTCTGGCAATGAACCGTTTGTCCCAAAGAGATCTTCTGCATTTCTGTATTTATTTGTGGTTACCCCAGCTATATATAAAAGACCCAATAGTGCCATAAGTTTTAAAATATCTGTTTTTTGCAAATTTATTACTGAGATTATGAATATCCGTGTTATCTATCCGTATATAAAGATATCCGTGTTATCTACAATGGTTTGTAAAATCTCGTCAGTAAAAACAAATTTTTGATACACTTTTCATATGTCGTACTTCCCTAGTTACTCCAGAAATTTTTATCAGATTGTGAAACATTCAAGACTTCTCTGAGATTGGCTCTCAATTTCTTATTCCATGTTGGTGTCGTGGTCCTGTATCTTTTCAAAATTTCTTTCTAAACTTCTGGATCAGCATCAGAGAGAAATTTTGCATAAAACTTTTCAACATACTCTTGTTTTTTTTTTCTTTTCAAAACTCATATTCAAAAAATCTGTAAAAGAAATAAGTTTAAATCAATCAAATATACAGAAAATATAATCAGTAGATTACTGCCAGTTATAAATTATATAAATCTTTAAATTTACAGGAAATAAAATATTCCAAAATTGAATCTAGAGCAAACATTTTTGCTAGTTTAAATTGTCATTGTGCAACGAATATTTTTAGAAGAGAAAACTCGAATATTTGTGTCACCTGATGAGAGGACATAAATACGAATAACTTCAAAATATAATGCAAGGAAAAATGGAAGGAAAACGGAATCCTGGCATTGGAAGAATGTCATGGTTGCGTAATTTGAGAGAGTAGTTTGGCTGTAGCACTATTGAACTTTTTAGGTCAGCTATAAACAAGGTCAGAATAGCCTTGATGATTTCAAATCTCCGATAGGAGTGGCAGAAGAAGAAGAAAAACGAATATTTTGCCTACCACATAGAGTATTATTGTGGGGGTTGAAAATTGGGGACAGAAATTATTAAGGTAGAGATAGGGTAAGCAAAAATAAACGAAACTGTTGCGAACAGCTCTCAGGGTTTAGTTAGAGAACTGGCTCGTGGATAAGTGAATGAATCAATGGGATTGGGTTGTGACAACTACAAAAATGAAGCAAAAGGGTACTTACATAAATCTCTTGGAACAAACAAAACACAAGAAGGTCCTCTAGCTATTTAAAATAACGACGTCGCTTTGAGAAATCTTCCTGCTGGATGAAAGAAAAGGTTCTTCCTTCCTAAAAAACACAAAAGAGGGTTTAGAGACTTTTTTAAAATAAATTAATAAAATGGTTTAGGAAAAAAAATTATACATTTATTGTCTCACCACAAACAGTTACAAATCACACAAAAAACCAAAACAAAATCTTAAATATGATTAGACAAATGTCCAAAATAGTGCTAACTGTCATATGTTAATACTAAATCTTACAACTGAGAACAATTAAAATGACAGCTAAGCCACACCCGAAGATGTATAGTTTTATTAATTACAATTTCTTAAATTGTTATAAAAGCAATTATTATTAGAAAAAAATGTCTATCTTTACTTTAAACAAAAAAAAGTCACCTGGGTTTCACTAACTGTTACTTTTACTTTAAATTTGTAAGGTTGGGAACTGGAATTAAACTCTCTGCCACACGAACAAATTCATCTCCACTGCGAATTATTCTGAAACGGCTTATTAAAGACAAACAAATTAATTTTGAAGTTGGGGCACTGGACGCAAAATTTGAAGCTCCGCTTTTTAAAAAACTGAAACCATGTGGATATTTTTTAAATTTGTTGTATTTTACAAATATCTCAGATGAGAGACGACTTACAAATAAAAAGCAGTGATTACTCGTTCAAAATTGACAAATTACATTGAGCAAAAATCACTTTTTTTCAACAAATTTGCCAGTTTTTTCCGACTAAACTAAACATGTCTGCTTTCAATGGCCAATTTTTTAAACCTTACTTAATTTCACTTACTGCACAATTAACTGCTACAACACTACACATTTTTCCATGAAAAAGGACGGAAAACAAAAAACATTACAAATTTGACGAAAAATTTGGACTAACCTGAACCCAACTACCCCTGACAGCAGCCTCAGCGAGAGTCATATAATTATCTTTAAAATTCATTCGCCCAACTTGGTACAAACAATAAATATAAACTGGAATATTTCTTTTTATTTGTAACGCGCAAAATATCTCAAAGCGGCTTCGATCAAGAGAATTACCGAAGAAATATGCATAGTGATATATAAACATATTAAAATGTGCTTATTATCGACCTCCGCGACGTAAAAAGATTAAAAATACTTTTTCGGTATGTTAACACATACCGGGTGATTTCAATACATACCAAAGAATTAAAGAAATGTTTCAATTGTACAAAGGAGTGCCCGCCCTGCCATATGCACGTCATTATCAATTAAAAAACAATGGTTTACTATGGCAAGCTTTTGTTATGTTTTATATTCGTAAAATAAATTGTTGGTAAAACTGGTTTTTGCTAATTATTGATATCTTTATATTTCTTTTCAGATGGCTTCCAAATTTTTTTCTGCTCTGAGCCGTAAGAAATCCAACGATGACACAGAAAGTGAGAGCCCGTTAGCGAGAGTTCTGACATTACTAGATCTGACAACTTTGGGAGTAGGAGCCACATTAGGTTTAGGAGTATATGTTTTAGCCGGTTCTGTAGCAAAGGAGGTAGCTGGACCTGCTGTGTGTTTGTCTTTTTTCGTGGCTGCTGTAGCATCAGCCGTTGCAGGTAATGTTGGTTTAAATAATGGTATATAACAATTAATTGTTTTCTCTCTTGATTTTTTATTTTAATTTTCAAAATGACCTTTATTAAACCCGGTAAAAAATTTTATTGTGTTTTCCTAGACTCGGGCAAATATGAGATATCAAATATTTATTCCGTTTATTTGAATAAATGTTTTTACAACTTCACACGCATATATAAAGTGTAATACAAACAGCATTTGCAACGATCTTGGCGTCAATAGGTAATTAATTAGAATAATTATCAAAACGCCGGTAACAACAAGAAATTTTGGAGATAAGAGTTTTTGCTAATTTTTGTCCTTAACAAATCGACTGCTATAATGTAAAATTTGAATATGCACTAAAATCAGTTCTTAAATATAAATAAAAAGAATTAATTGCCCACTTAGATTTCTTGGATTAGATATTTTCATTAGATAAACCAGATAAGATCTGTTTAGTATTTTAATGTGACGATGGAGACACGTTTCCAAGAACTCTTGGTACGTCAGTCTATCTGGGAAAAATCTTTGATTTCATTAAAAAATCTTATAGAGGTACTTAAAGGTTCTAAAAGGTACAGGAGGGTAGCTGATAAAAAATTCGTCAAGACGTACACTTGATTTTTCTTATCTCAAACAATCTTAAAAAGTGTAAAAGACATTTTTTGCCTATAAAAACGTTTTTAATGCAGTTTAGAGAAAAAAGGATTAAATAAAAATTGTAGATGTTTAAATAAAAATTTTATTAAATTTGCGAGTTTCTAACTGCTAATTTGCAGTAATTTATAAATGCTTATTTCCATACATTCTAATAATGATAGGCTAAATGTCTTTATTTTGAATGCGAAGAATTTGAAATTGGTCATTAAACGAATGGTTATGTCATCTCGGGATAATATTTAAGGGCCTTAAACATCTTCAGATCCTCGGACGCTCTGTAGAGGGCTTCGGATAACCATTTACTGGGTGTGGATTTGGGCCATACCAGTTTTCTTCTGGTATCTTGTCTTGAGAAAGACAAAATATTTCTTATATGATAAATATTTAAGTCGAAATTAAAATACCAGGTTGCAGTAGAATAAACACTCAACCACAGAGTATGGAATACTACTAGGAAGCAGAGCCCCTAGAGCACTAAGCTAGAGTTAGAGCCTAGGGCCTAATACACATAGGGCTTAATATAATGGTGAAACTTTTGTAGCAGTAGATATACCAGATGGTGGTGAAGACTAAGGGCTATCAGTACTTGCTGAACCTTGTTTTAATGCATAGTGTGTCATATATGACAAAAAAAAAAAAAATAAAAAAAATCAAAAATCTAACCAAGTAAGATGTAGGATTTTTTAAAATATTTTTAATGCAATCTGGAAGCCAAGTTTGTAATCATAGATTTTTTATAAAAAATAATAAAAATCATGCAGACTAAGGGGTTAAGTTATGATTCGCCTCTATACAATGTTAATCTTATAAGCAGTTCCTTATGCTTTTGTCTGTTCTTATAAATTTATCATAACTTTAAGAGCACTTAAGGGATTGAACATTTGAGGATGTTAATCGAAGCATACAAGAAGATAATGCAAATAAATTAGAGATAAAATAGAGCAAAATTGATACTCGAAACCTATTGTAAGTGTTTCGTTCTTAGAAATTTATAAGTGGAATCACTTTCTAAAAACAATATATTTTCGATAATGTAAACAAATTAAACTTTGTCCCTTATTATCTACTATCTAAACACTCTCCAACGTTTGTAAGATGTTTCTTCTAGACTTCTTTTTCTTTTTCTACCAGTATCTTGTTACAATATTAACTGTTGCTGCAAAAAATGATGCTTTTATGCTTATAAATACAATAATTATTATTTTTAAATATATTATTGAGTTTATAAAATAATTAAATTTACTATCAAATGATATTTGTTTATATTTTATAATTAATTTATTATCATGTTTGAATTTGACAGGTCTGTCATAGGTAAACAACATATTATGCTTTGTTAATACGTCAACAGGTTTCGTTGGGAGCAAAGTCGATGCGAAAAAGGAGAGCAGTAGATTATGTTTGTTTATATTATATTTTTTAAAAACTGTTATAGTTCTTCGGAGACAAAGAAATATTCATAAAGAACAATGATCATTAAGCTTGTTTTATTTTCTCATTGTCCGAGAAGATCTACAATTCTTGTCTTACCTCTTCATTTCTGTCCCTATGTAGTCTTGTACTACCTTTTTGCTGTTTGGAAAGATCTCATTTCGATAGCTCGCATTCTAAAGTTATCTCCTTGCGTTATTATCTAGCTTCAAAAAGTAGATGGACCTTTGTAGCTTACTGAACTTTGGATTATCAGCTGATCGTAAGCAAAATAAATATTTATTTTCATTGATATAAGGTTGATCATTCTTTCTCCTGTTGCCGACCAGAATGTAGCTTCCACGATTTTTTAAATAATTTTAAACTGTTTGTCTTTGTTTATTGTAGTGTTATGTTCAATTGTATGTTTACTTTTAAGTCTATGACATTCTGCAATTGTTGGATAGCCCAAAATTTGACAAAATTCCCCTGAAGATGTTCTAGGAAGCGAAAGTACTTGGGCAAGATTTAATTAGAATAGAATAGAATAGAAATATGCTTTATTGTCACTGAAAATTATTGAACAATTTTATGGACAAAGCTAAAAAATAAATCAGTCAAATAGTACAAAAAGTACAAAACAAAAACAAATATAGTAAAAAACAGAATAACACAATTTTAAATTAGTAAAATTATTGTATAACCTACATAATTTGTACAGACAACAACAAATGATCAAATTGTAGCCACTGCCTGAGACACCCAAATGTAATTATAAACAATACTAATTTTGTTTCTTTGTTATACATTAAGAAACTCGTCAACTGAATAATATGGTCTTTCTGAGAGATAGATTTTTGTCACCTTACGAAACTTAATGAAGGATGTTGCGGATTTAATTTCTCTTGGAAGGTGATTATATGGAGTAGCCATGGTCAGGTCTATCGGGAAAAATGTTTAGATGCTTTCGAATCAAACAAACCGCTTCCAAAATAAATAAAGAGGGAAGCGTCAAAATTCCGTGATTTTTGAAGTAGGTCTTGCAATGAGTTGTTTGTTTGAGACCAAATAGATAACGGATTGCTCTTTTTTGCAACTTAAAAATAGTATCAAATTGGGCCGCTGTACTAGAACCCCAAAATGGAAGCCCATATCGAAGATGGGACTCGAACAATGAGAAATATGCAATTTTGGCAGAAGATAAATTTAGTTCATTCGAAACAGATCTTATTGCAAAGCAAGCTGAGGCTAGTTTCTTCCTTAAGGAGTCAGTATGCAAGGACCATTTGAGATCACTGTCAATGAGAATACCTAGAAATTTCACGGAATTTACGATATTGATTTGGCTCTCATTCAAAAGCAAGGGTTGCATGACTCCTTTATAAGATAATGCTACACTCTTATCCACGTTAAAGCTAAGTAAGTTGGAGTCTGACCAAGCCTTGATTATAAGTAAATCAGCGGTTATAATTGAATGAAGCGTTGAAATATCAGAGCTGCTCCAAGTAATACTGGTATCATCAGCAAATAGAAAAATTTTCCCTTTAATTTTCAAGTAAGTGATGTCATTAATGAAAAGTAAAAAAATATTGGGACCTAATACTGAACCTTGCGGTACTCCACACTCAATATCTTTACAACTAGAGTCGGTGTCATTTATTCTAACCAATTGTTTCCTACCTACCAAATAAGTTTTGAACCAGTTCAAAGACACACCCTGAATTCCATAGAAAGTTAATTTTTTCAATAGAATGTCGTGATTTACGCAGTCAAAGGCTTTGGAATAGTCGCAGAAAACGGTGGCAGAGGAGAGGTTACTGTTTAGTGATAGATATACATCATGTAACACAGAAAATATGGCATCACTAGTGCATTTATTAGACAAAAAGCCGAACTGATTTTGCGATAAAATATTATATTGAAGGAGAAAGGGCATAAGTCGAACTTTTATAAGTCTTTCAATAATTTTTGATAGTGCTGGTAACAAGGCAATAGGTCTATAGTTGCAGGCATCAGATTTTTCTCCACCTTTATGAAGTGGAATGACGATGGCAGTCTTTAGGCAGTTAGGGAATGCACTGACTCCATTGACCAGAGACCCCAGAGACCATGACCTCCAAAACATTATGCGGTAGATTTGAGAAAATTTTAATAGATAATCCATCTGTACTACAGGACGATGTGCCTTTTATACTACGAATTGTTGAAATAAGTTCCGTCTTATCAACTGGTCTTAAAAAGAAGGTATCAGCAATATTTTTTGAATTAGAGAGATAGGAAACTGGATCTTGTTGTGGCGAAATAGTTGAGGTTATATTTTTACTCACATTAACAAAGTAATCATTTAGATTTTCGGGTTAGGAAAAGAAAAGGTTTGATTCGCTGTACTGGTTTTATTTCGAAAATCGTTTATTATTGACCAAGTTTCTTTTGAAATATTTTTGGAGCTTGTTAAGCGATTATGAAAGTAGGATTTTTTGGCTACTTTGAGTAGTTTTATATAGCATTTTCTGTACTTGTTGATATAATCAGAGATGGGGATACTGTCATTAAATTTTTTAATATATAGCAGAGAACGCATATTTTTCGCAGATATGCGAATGCCTTTGGTAATCCAAGGTTTGTTATGTTTTGGCCTGATGTTTAATAGAGGGAATGCTTTATTAAAAATAGATACAAGTCTATTTAGAAAATCACTAACATTACAGTCAATGTCCCCAGAAGAAAAACTCCAGTCAGAAGTCAAGCATGAATTATAGAATTTACGAAAGTTTTGAGTGAAAAAAATCCTACCTAATCGTCGGGTTTTTGAGTGAGGTGTTTGTAAACTGTTAAACTTGGTATATACCGCTTCATGATCAGAAATCCTCCCACTAATAACTGTAGAATGGACGTCAGCGGGTGGAAAATCAGAAACCACATAATCAATTGTCGAGGATGATGTTTTTGAGATTCTTGTTGGAGAATTAACGTGCATTGTGAGACCATAGGATTCAAAAATAGTTACCAAAGACAGTTCGGTCGCACAAACAGCAGCGTAGTCAATATTAAAATCACAAATTACTAAAAACAGTACTCGATATCTGCCTTTCATTTTATCAAAGTTCAAATATTTATTTGTTTATATTGCTTCATTTGTATATATGTACGTATATTCGTATGTTTAAATAGTTGTGTAGACAAAATTGTATATGCAAGAATTCCCCGTTGACGTACAACATTGTAGCAAACTTTCGCTACAAGTCCGATAAATCGATTGCCAAAAATTACGCACAAATAATTTTGCAGCATCTGTTGGTGTGTCAATAAGTGGGTCGACGACCCACAAATTGAATATTTTGGAAGAGTGAAGAGTGATATTGAAACGAACAAAGTATTATGGTTTAATTGGTACAAGGCTAACAGGTGGACATTAAATAATAATTGTTTTGCTATAATATTTCGCATGGATAATTTATCTCAATATTAGTGTTAAACAGAATTGGTCATGCTGAGAATAAAATGGTTTCTAATGAGGTGCTTTTATATTTAATTACAAGCATACATATATACAATCAGTTTCATAAAAATCGGTCGATTTGATTTTAAGTAAATTTTTTATTTATGGTTCAATTTTGATAATTTTTTGGAAGAGTCTAGGGACAATGATGCTTATTATTTCACATTATCAAGATTTCCACATAACGCTTCTATTGTGAACGTTATACGAGGCAAAATAAGATTGTTTCATCAAAGTTTAACTTTAATTTATTGATAAAATTTTGTGGTAAAATAAATATTTTGGATTCCTCTTAAAAGTATTTTACATGCAAGCCTGGTAAACAATTTCGGTCATTGTTGTAGTTGACCAACTAAAAAGGTCCCCAGGTCGTAGGAGTCTTAAACCTGCCGCCTTCCTAGCCAACTGGTCAGCAATGCGGTTGCTTTTATTCCTATTGTGTCCTTTAACCCACTTCAGGATAGTGGTATTACCATCCGAAACTTGAGATAGTGACTCGTGACACTCCATTACTAACCCTGATGTGACACGTGGTTTATTAAAGGTTAGTAGCGCTTGTCTGCTATCTGTACAGATTATTATAGTTTTCCCGGCTATACCTTTTTGGGTTATATCCCACTTTATTCTTAGGTTTAGTGATCTGGAGTATATCCCGCATCCTAAGCCTTCTTCCATTCTGGAGCCATCGGTGTATATGCAATACGCATCTGCCACGTTTGTCTTCCTAAACTGTCTTGTTTTATATTTAGTAGGGTTTGTCAAAGACAAACTTTGGTTTAATTGAGTCGCAGTCTGTCTGTAGCAAGGGTAGCACATCCAGCTCTCCTCGCCAGAAACGAGTTCTCAATTGTTCCAACCCTACAACAAAGTTTGCACCAGTAGCATCATTTTGAGAGCAGTCGCATCATTTTGACCAGCACCAACTCCATTGCAGCAGTTGGTGTTGTTTTCATGCCACCTGTGATATTTATGTAAGTCATGCTGAATATGGTTTAGTTTGTTAATCGCTGTTGTCTGTAGCACTTTTGGTACCTAAGCAATAGCTTCCGTAAGTTAGTATTGGCCTAAGGTTAGCAGTGTAGATCCAGGCGATCACCTTGGACCGTATGTCGACATTGCTCATAGGTAATACATGCTCTTTTAGCTCTACTATCCAAGTGTGAGTTCCACGTCAACTTCCTGTCAACGGTAATACCAAGGTACTTCACCCCGTCAGAAAAATTTAGACTGTAGTTAAAAATCCTTGGAGGTATTAAGCCTGTGATTCTTTTTTTTCTGGTGAAGATGATCATCTCTGTCTTCTTAGGATTTATATATAGCGAGTGTTCCTTGCACCATATTTCTATTAGTGGGTAATCTCTCACATAGTGTGTTCTCAAACTTACCACTTTGCAGGACCTGCTTCTCTTTGGCATTTTATTCATTTTTAAAACTAACATATTAGGAACTATGACAAGTAAAACTAGAAGGAACCACGTACGAAACAATATAACCAAGAAACTATTGCGTGCAAGGTTAAAGTAGACTGAGGAAGACCGATATAATGTCAATTGTATAGTAAACGCGAGAAGAATGTTATAAAAATGAACTACTAAATGTATATTTAAGGTTTTGTTAACGTTTTATTTTCCATTTCAGGTCTGTGCTATGCCGAATTTGCCGCCAGAGTTCCAAAGGCAGGTTCTGCCTATATATACAGTTACGTCAGCGTGGGTGAATTTGTGGCGTTTGTTATTGGATGGAATCTAATTTTAGAATATATTATTGGTAAGTTATATTATAATAATTAACTTACACATAACTAAACGTATAGAATCACCATGTATTTTAAACCAATATTTATTTGTTTTGAAAAAACTTGTTATTGTTGCGAAGAATAAAGCTTTTATTGAAAAAAAAAATGAACCAATAAAACAATCAGATAACTACTTACAAGACGCCATCTTCAAAGAGCTCTAGCTCCATTAGGAAGCATTTTCGGACTAGGTGAATTGGGGTAAATGGTTTTAAAATGATTTAAGGAATCTCCGGTTTTCGTTTGTCAGGAGAGTTTCTGGACACCCTGTATATGCGGAGGAAAGTTTTAAGAGAAATTTATGGAAAAATCAAGCACAGAGATGGTATTTGAAGAAGACGAACAAAATTAACGATACACATGGAAAAGTAATGCAGAAAACACTGCTCTGTACAAATGACTGTAGACATAATTCCAAATTAACTGGTGAAGTCCAGGGAAGAAAAAAAGACATCCATTTAAGAGAAATAGTTAAAAGTAGTGAGATATATTTTCTTTGATGGTACACAAGGCAAATATCGAACACAGTATTTACTCAAATCTTGCCCAAGTACTTTCGATCACAAGATTATCTTCAGGGGCATTTCGTCAGTTGTGGCCTATCCAGCAGTAACAGAATGTCATAAATGTAAATTGGGACATAACAAATACACTAAACAAAGACAAACAAACACTTTAAAATTTAAAATTGGAGAAGCTACATTTATATAGAAGCCGGAGACAGACGTTCTGTCTCCAAAAGGCACATGTTAAAAAGTTTTTTATTTTCTTAAGTAGGCAAGTGCCTTCGATTTTGTTTGTATCAGAAACTAAACAATCTTCGCCTGGAGATTTGTTATTCTTAGCTATTCTTAGGGCTAGTTTAATTTCGTCTATTATAATTTCCGGTAGTAATTCTGATCCTTGGTTGACAATGCCCTTTTTCCTTGTTAATATTTCTGGTACTTGATTTTCTCTGCTGTTTGCTTTGTTTTGGCTTGTGTACATCAATTTGCAGAAGTCTTTAACTATTTTAAGGGTTTCCTCTCTGTTGGTTGTAAAACGACCATTTCTATCTTTAATCTTTATTATCTCCCTTGTCCCCGTTCTTAGTCTTTTTCTCAATACGTTCATACTTTGTTCTTGGTTGTATTATCGAGTGTCTGGTCTAACAGCTTTTAATATTTCTATTAAATTCGTTAGGCACCTTTTAATGTTCATGTTTGTGTATAAACTTTGAAACCACTAGAGTGTTAACGTCATTGTAAATATAATTTAATTGAATATCAATTATTTATAATAATTTATTAAAATGTGTTATTATTGGTAATCATTGAATTATTTTACAAGATAAAACTGTAAAACAAACATGTTGATGATAGGTATTAGATGAATTTAATGAGATTTATCGATTTTACTAACTGATTTGTGAAAATATTTATCTAACAACAATATAAATGATCTGTATGTTATTAAACTGTGTTATTATTTACACAAGGATACTATATTTATTTGTTGCAGTAGTTTTATAATATCTGTAGTTATACAGAGTGATTCACGAAATAAAAAACGGATTTATTCAGTTACTCATTTTATTCTTCAGACTACAAAAGTATAGAGGTCTATAAAATACAATTACATAATTATAATTATGTAAACATATGCCTTTCTTTGTTTAACGGATGTCTCCACTTGTGTCTTCTTTTTCTTTCCTGGACTGGATTAGGCTTCCTAAGATAGAAGTATGTTCTATATAGCTCAGTAGTTATTCCAGTAAAATCCTTCAAATTTTAATATGAATAAGTCTCATTAAACTAAAACTTCTCATGAAATCCATTTCGGTTGTCCTAGTTTCAATTGATTTTCTTTCGTTTGTTCATTACTAATTTGCTGGCCCATAGCTAATTAAACTGGCTACTATAGTATCTTAGTTAAGTGCCATGAGAGGCCAACACGATCTCCTTCTGGACAGATGGTCTAGAAAGCATACGTGGCATGTGCTTCTGAAATGTCAACAAAGACTCACATAACCTATAATATTTGTAAGAAATACTTAAAAAATGATCGGCCATTAAACTTGGAGACTTAAAAAAATGATCGGAGACATTAAAATTTTCAATATAGTGGTACTTAACCTGTAAAATTCTCCTTTTATGTTTCTGGTGATCTGTTTATCCCATAGTCCGCCGTTTATTTCGTAATAAATCTTCTTCCTGCGTTAATTTGCTGATTATTTTCTCCATACAAGAAAACCACCATATTTTACCACGGAAGTATGACCTCATTTAAAAGAAGTCTTTCCAAGTCAGCTAAAAATTTATTGCTTATCGACATCCTGTTGCCATTTAGTGGGTTCGTTACTAAATATTTTAAATAAATTTAAATAAATTCGAAATATTAGTTAACAATCAAATTTTTATTTTTTACTTATATTATTTTCTTAACTAAAGCAATTCGATCTTTTTCAGGTACTGCCAGTGTTGCTAGTGGCATGAGCAACTACATCGATGCTCTGATAGGTGGTCAAATCAAGGATACGCTACGAAAATGGATGCCCATGGATATTTCCTTTATGTCTCCATATCCAGACTTCCTTTCTTTCATTTTTGTGATGATATTGACATGTAAGTTTGTTTTTTACTACTGGATACTGACATTTAATCTTAACACATTGATTAGTATTTTTTCTTAGCCTTAAAGAACTAACACTTAGGCAATGGATTTATATAGGGACACTGCAATAGACCAAGTTGCCAAAGAAATGAGATAAGGTAGGACATTTGTAAAGAATGGGCGAAGATAAAGGTACTAAAGAAATTGAGGCAAACAGAGTGGGGAAGTAAATAGAAAGTTGCACGTCCTAGGGAAAGATGGCTCGATGCGGTGGAAAAGGACCTAAAATAGAAAGACGTTCAAGACTGGGGAGTAAAGACCAAAGACCGAATAAAATCGAAGGGAATTATAAAACCATGTGCCTTAAAATTACTGCGTTAACATTATATAAATTTCACATAAAAGAATGACTTGAAACAAGAAATTTTGATTACAGATTTATATTTATATTGGACAATTCGTATGTAATTATAGTTTCGAATTATCTTTAATGTCCTGTGTTCGTTTCTTCTCGATCGACGATGATAAATAAAATGTTGAAGTCATGGAGTAAAATATAGTTTTATTGACGGCTACTGAATTATTGCACAATAGTTATTATTGAGGTAGAAATTTATATTAGATTGCCTCCCAAACTAGTCCCGAAGCTATATTTATAATCTTACTAAAATGCTACAGATCATCAAATAAGTGTATTGTCTACTACATAGAACCAAAACCTTTGACTTTTGAAAGCTAACAAATATAATTTGAACCGAGGAAATTATTGCAAGGATTTCCTTAATACCTATTTATTAGGCAATCTATAGTTTGTAGAAAGTTGAACAAACTGTAATTAAGCTACTAATCGCTATGTTTCATAATTATAAACGGTGAAACTATAAAAATTAAGAAAATTAAGATTAATGTGAGGATTCTCACATTAATCTTAATTTTCATTATTGTCATTATTGAAGTAATATTGGCCATTCTGTAAGAACTAGACGACTAATAGAAAATGTCTAAATATATAAAATATAAAATAATATTTATAGTTTTAAATAATCACAACACTTCATAACATCATACTACTAATTTACTCGATTTTTGAATTATTATCTCACCAGCGCAAAGCTACCTATAACTTGAATATTTAGAATTTATGATTTAGTTATACCTAATTCAAATCTAAGTTCATTAAGTGAAACTGATCTAGGTGGGACTGTCCCGAAAGTTTTACGTAAATTTGGTTGTGATATCATATGTCTTCGAGGCGCTGGATGATGTTGGATGCACAAACCTTGATACCTTTGTTTTTTTGGCTCTCTTGACATTTCGAAGATATCTGACTACCTTCCACATAACAATGAATATAATTACTAGTCCTGTGGTTAAATGTGGAATCCACTGATGGTTAACAAAGGTCTTGGACATATACAAGATATTTCCAAGACCATTCAGATATGTCTTGGTCTAACTGCTTAAGTACTATATTTGGCAACTTACCTCCCCGAATGTCTATATTATGCCTGAGAATGTTGATCTGTTTTAATATTGTCAACTGCATAATCTTTTCAATAGAGCTGACGGGAGTCTAAGTAACTTCCAATTGCTGTTTCCAATCCATTACTGGAAGTAAGTAATGCTATGTTCCGGGTCTAAGCAACGCATTTTGGTGACAGCTTTGTAAAACTAGTATGATTTATTATGTCTTCAGATCAAGAACCATCGCACATTAGACCTAATTTATAGCATAGAGGTTCGGTGTGCTCATTTTCAACTAACTGGCTTCCTTTATCATGTACTCTATATTGAAGATGGTGTGGGGAGTTCTATCATTTTTTTTAACCTATTCTCTATCCTTCCATTGTTGGATATAGGTCTCCCCCAGTTCTCTCCATCTTTCCCTATCTTGAGCTGTTCTTTGCCATGTGGGACCTCCTTGTTTCCTGATGTCATCTTTCCACCTCATCTGTGGTCTGCCTCTTGATCTCTTTGCATTGTATGGACGCCACTTTCCGATGGCATTGTTCCATCGTCCGTCTTGGAGACGTTCATTGTGTCCAGCCCATTTCCATTTCAGTTTTGCTGCTTGTTCTATCGCGTCTACTGTCTTTGTTCTGGTTCTGATCCACTGGTTACGTTTTCTATCTCTAAGTGATACACCCAACATTTGTCTCTCCATCGCCCTTTGTGCCTTTCTTATCCTATCCAAATTGGTCTGTGTAAATGTCCATGTCTGTGCTCCGTAGGAGAGCACCGGTATGATACAGGAGTTATATACCTTGCTTCGTAAGTATAGAGGGATTGTTTGATTTTTTAGAACGTAAGAAAGTTTGCCGAACGCTGCCCATCCCATTCTTACTCGTCTCGATATTTCGGCTGTTTGATTTTCTCTATTAGCTCTGATTGCTTGTCCTAGATAGATATACTCATTTACCTGTTCTATTTTTTCTGTTTTTATTTTTATTGCCTTTTGGTCTTCCGTGTTTGTCATTACTTTTGTTTTGTTAAAGTTAATTTTTAGGCCTTTTTGAAGTGATTTTTCATGAAGTTCATTCAGCATTAATTCCAGTTCTTGTCGTTCCGAGGAGATCAGGAGTAATCATCCGCATATCTAAGGTGATTTAGGTATTTTCCGTTAATACATATTCCTCTGTTTTCCCAATCTGTTGATTTTATTATGTCTTCGAGGGTCAAGGTAAACAGTTTAGGTGAAATTATATCGCCTTGTCGGACTCCTCGTTTAACTTTTATATTATCTGTTATTAATTTGTCGTCCAGAATTACGGTCATGGTTGCGTTTTGGTAAATATCATGTATCAATTGTCGGTATCTTGAATCTATTCTACTATTAACCAGAGCTTCTTCAACCGCCCAGTGTTCAATGCTGTCGAAAGCCTTTTCATAATCTACGAATGCTAAGTACAGCTGAAGGTTGTATTCATTGGTTTTCTCAATTAAGATTTTAAGCGTATGTAGATGGTCGATTGTGCTGTATCCTTTTCTGAATCCGGCCTGTTCCACTGGTTGGTAGTTATCAAGTTTATAGGTTAGTCGGTTGTTTATTATTCTTGTGAAGGTTTTATATAGTTGTGACAAAAGGGAAATAGGACGGTAGTTGTTTAGGTCTGTTCGGTCTCCTTTCTTATGTATTAAGATTGTGTTGGCATTTCTCCATTGTTTGGGTATTTTACCTTCAAACAGACATTTGTTGAACAGTATTTTTAGCATTTTTTTTTATCGTGTCTCCTCCTTCTTTTAGCAGTTCCGCCAGTATTTTGTCCTCACCGGCCGCTTTATTTCTTTTCATGTCGTTTATGGATTTTTCGATTTCATCTTCAGTTATTTCTGGTAATACCTGGTAAATATTCTAGTTCTATCATATAATTCATTTAAGATACAGTTTGGTTGGGTATCCATATTATTGTTTGCTATAAGTGAACATGCCAACTCTCCTTTGTTTAATTCTATACACCTTTCTTTATCTTTATATGTCACTTAAAAATAGTGTAAATTATTAGTCACTGCAAGTAGATTCCTTGGGATCAATAACGAGCGAACAACGCCACTTGTCACCGACAACGGAAGAACTGTGACTCTCAGGTAGTATCTAGTGTTGTCAGTTATTAGTAAATATCCAATAATGACGATGTCTCCTTCTTCATTTTGTAAAACAGTATCTATTGTTGGCTGCCTTCTTATATTTACTCCTTGTGAAAGAAACTTTGTAGCATTCAACATAATTGACTTTATTCGTATATTCTCTTGCATATTCCATTGCACGGTCATAGGTCGCTTCCACTTTCAGCCGTATGTACTCTTTTTCTAACGTGTCAGCTCTATATGAGACAATACGTAGATTTCTTGGTTCCTTTTATCAGTGTTTCTCGGAACCTATTTAAATGCCCATTTATTCTTTCTTCTGTAGAATTAATCGAAGCTATTATTTGTAACATCATCTTCATCTTCGTCCAAGGAATCAATGTCCCTGTACACTTGATCATTTACTCAAAATGACATAAAAACTGTTCCTAGAAGTCCACTTTTCGGTATTCTTTTAACTTCCAGATGTAATGCTGTACCTATCATTTTTGTCCTTTCTTGTTCTTCTTTAAGCTGACTTGATAGTGGTTCACAATTTATTATATTGCTTGCCTTACATATATCTTCTAGAGATTCTACCATTGAATCTATCGTCCGTTCACCATCTAAATTTCTTTTCTTTTCTAGATCAGTTTTTATACTAAATATCCCTCGATTTATGTATACATCGCTAAGATTCTCTGAATCTAATCCAGGGGATGGGGCATAAATCTTGTATAGGTCTGCGTTTGACGGTTTCAAAAATTTATACAAAACATAAATTTTTTCCACATACTACGTGCTCTATTTGTCTTTCGTGAGGTGGGCTCTCATCCTATTCATATCATCATATTTAGAGAAGAATAATGGAATTTATTCTCCTTTGTATTAAAACGGCAGATCGATACAAATAAGTTGATTGCAAAGACAGATTCAGTTTTGTAGTTATGAAGTCAAATAAATAATTTATTGAACATTTTATACTTTAATTGTAAAAAGTAAAACGCTACTTGAACAAGCTGAACTGCCATAAAAACAGTTTTTGAAAAATCAGGAAGGAAGTCGTCTACAAAGAGTTATACTGAATCACAACAGTCCTTTTACGATCTGATAAGTGCATTCCGGAAGTCAGAACTGTTTTACAATTTTACTATTCATTTTCTTCCCATAAAAAAGAAGATATCCTTTGAATGAATTCAAGGTTTCAATCTAAACTACTTTTAAATCTATTATATCCGCATTTTTAACTCTTACATAACAAAAATCGTAGATTAAATGATAGATTACGCATAACATTAAAGCAAACAGGAAACATTGACTTAAATCGTATGCGTGTGTATTACATTTTTCATACCAACTTGTTTTTTCAAAACATTCAATCTTTTGCAACCTTGCATGTCAGATATTTGCTCACGGTATTGTAATTTTTCTAAGATTCAATCGGTTTTATGAGAGGTAATTCAATAAGGCAATAACTTTATTGTGAGTAGTAAAATTGCAACAGGTGGAATTTAATTCGAGCATGTGATGCCAAGTACGTAGAATTATTATCTATTCTATGACAAAGCACAATTGGTTTATTTGTGATTTATAATACAGAAAAAACTAAAAATTACCGAAAAATAGCCCAATTAAAAAAGAAAGTACGCTGAGAAATTTTAAAAAAATATTACATTCGAAAACTGAATAAATTTAAAGAAATCGATAATACAACAGAAGAATCTCTTATTAAAATGATAGAGGATATTTAAGACAATTTTATGAAGACTGGAGAAAGTAAAAATAAGACATTGTTGACTACAGAGGTTCTGTAGCTGATGGAAGAAAGAAGGAAAAACAAGACCGATAATTCCATGTATAAAAGATTGCAACCAGAGATACAGCGAAAGATCAGAGAAGTCAACAGAAAGAACTGAAAAAAATGTCAAGAAATCGAATTTCTACAAAGTAAAGAGTGTATCAGAGAAATACCAAACAAATGTAAAAAGAGAAGAGTAAGTAATGTTGTTATATAATGGAGAGGTTATCGTGGACAAAGAGAATACCTGAAAAAATTACGAAATATACGAAATTTACGTTTTTTATGAGAGAGACAACCAGTCCTCAATTCCTACGAAACCGGACCACCTATACTAGTGGCAGAAATATGAGCAGCCATAATATCACTAAAATAAGGGCAAGCTCCAGGACCAGACGAAGTATAGTCTGAATTTTCTTAAACTTCTTGATGATGAATCTTTAAGAATACTATGTAAAAAACTATGCGAAAAGGACATTGATTAAGGATTATTCTCGTGGAATGTAAGATCTCTATATAGGCCAGGAGCCTTGCAGTCTCTCATTAACAGTGTAGAAGTAAGTATATAAGAGCGATATAATTGCGCTTCAGGAAATGAGATGGTTGGGAAATAAAATATTAGAGAAAAAGAATTCTACGATATATTATAGCTTCCATCCAACGGGACACAAATTAGGAACGGGATTTATAGTCAATAAAAGAGTAAAGCACCTTACAATAGACTTACAACCTATCAATGAAAGATTATGCACACTAAGAGTTAAATTCTTTAAATATTCAATAATAAATGCCCATGCACCAACTGAGAAGAAGCAGGATGAAGAAAAAGAACAATTTTATGAACAACTGGAAAATATCATACAACATTGTTCTAGAACTAATGTAAAGGTCTTAATAGGAGATTTTAATGCAAATATAGGTCATTTATCCAATGTTGGACATAGGCCTCCTCCAATTGCTTCCACGCTTCCCTATCTTTTGCAATTCTCATCCACTGCTTTCCAGCTACAGCAGTTATATCGTCTATCCATCTCTTTTTAGGTCTTCCCACGCTTCTTTTTGTTTCTCAAGGTCTCCAGAATGTCACTTTATGAGACCATCTGTTGGTGTCTTGTCTTGCTACATGTGCTACCCATTGCCATCTCAATGTCGCTATTTTTTCCATGATGTCGGTTACTTTAGTTCTTCGACGTATTTCGGTGTTAGGAATTTTGTCTCTGAGGCTTATATTTAACATGGCCCTCTCCATGGCCCGTTGAGTTACTCTTAATTGTTCTGCCATTTTTCTTGTTATTGCCATAGTTTCCAATCCATAAGTTGCAACTGGTAGTATACAAGTGTCATAGGATTAATTTTTAATCCTATTTGATTCGATTTGTGATTTAAATCTTGTAGCATTGATTTTAGTTCATGGATATCTGTGCTTATTAGTACTATGTCGTCTGCAAAACGCAAATGGTTAAGATATTCTCCATCTATTTTTAATCCATTTTCGGCCCAATTTAGTTGTTTGAAAACATTTTCTAATGCCAAAGTAAATAACTTGGGTGAGATGGTGTCGCCCTGTCTCACACCTTTGCCAAGGTCTATTTTCATAGTTTTCAGATCATCATCTATTTTTACGTGAAAAGTAGCATCATCGTATATATTCTTAAAGAGGGCAGCATATCTTGAATCTACTCTGGCGTCGTCCAATGCTATTAAGAAAGCCCATTTCTCGATACTGTCGAATGCTTTCTGATAATCGACAAATGCCAGATGTAGTGGTATGTTGTACTCTATTGTTTTTTCAATAATGGTCCGAATTGTTTGCAAGTGATCGATAGTGCTCAAACCCTTACGAAAGCCTGCTTGCTCCACTGGTTGGTATGCATCTAGTTTAGCTGTCAATCTATTTGTTATTATTCGGGTTAGTAGTTTGTAAAGGTGTGACAATAAGCTAGTAAAATTTTTGAAAGCGACCATCGCAAGAGTCGAGTGTAAAGTTAGAGTGCAGAACGGAGTTTCCAGAACGTTCCAGTCTAAGATATAACTTGGACAAGGAGACAGCCTATCATGCCTTCTATTCAATATTACTAGAGAAAGCGATAAGAGAATCTGGAATAACAACCAGAGGAACTATTATTAATCGCAGCGGACAATTACTAGCGTACGCCGATGACATCAACATTATTGCAAGAAGAAAAACGGACGTGGTGGAATCATTCAAGGCGTTTGAAGCAGTAACAAAAGGCATTTGTGGATCTGAGAAGGGCGTATGACTCTTTACCAAGGTCAGAACTATGGGAAGCAATGTACAAATAAGAAATACAGACGGAACTCATAAAAGTTACAAAAGCCCTGTATAAAAAAAATAAATTGTCCAGTAAAATGGGAACAAGAATCATAGGAGACTTCACAACAACAAAGGGTTCCTACAGGGTTGTTCCCCATGTCCAACCCTATTCAAAATATACTTAGAGAAAGCCTTGACTATACGCTAAGCTTTGCAGACGATCAAGTAGTGATTGCAGAAGACCAAGAAGACCTCAGTTACATGATGAAGAAACAACAAGAAGAATATACCAAGGCTGGCCTAGATATTAACCTCGCGAAAACAGAGTAAATATTTACAAGTGAAAAAGACATAAAAAATCTACAGATTGACGACAATGTAACAATCAAAGGAAAGGATAAATTCAAATACTTGGGGTTTATAATCACGAAAAAAGCAACAACAGAAAAAAAAAGTTAAGCAAATATTAGGACTTACAAAAACAGCAATCCAACAACTTAACTCAGTATGGTGGGATAGAAACCTAAATATGAAGACAACAACACAGATTTATAAAATATTAGTGCAAAGTATTATGACACATGGGGCTGAAAATTGGATTATAAACAAGAAAAACAGCAGTAAGATAGTAGCAACAGAGATGGAATGCCTACGAAGATGCTGCAGAGTAACAAGAACGGATAGGAGGTAATGACAAAATAAAGCAAAGAGCAGCAATAGAAACAGATATACTAACATATATAGAACAAAAAAGACTAAAGTGGTATGGACATGTAAAAAGAAGTAGTCACAGCAGATAAAAAAAGAAAATAACCGAATGGAGCTCCATAGGAAGGAGGAAAAGAGGACGATCCCAAAGATCCTGGAGGAACGAAGTAGACAACGTCAGGAGTAAGAGAGGTCTAAACGATGGAGAATGGTACAACAGAGAGAGAGATGGAAACGGTTGAGCGAGGGAAGGCAGTGAATAATGTAGAATCCCTGAGTATATATACTTGGAATATCACTGTCATTATTTTTCATAATTTTATGTTTGGTATTTTTTGTTTCGTATTACTGATAAGCATTTTCAAATATGTAATTTTTTCATAAAAACAATGTAGGATTTCAATAGGAATCGACTAACACTAACTAGCAAATAAATTTTTTTTATTAAAACATTATACAAAACTAATTACCATGATTACTTCACTTATTTTCAGTTCTACTTGCCTTTGGAGTAAAAGAATCATCAAAGCTCAACAACGTTTTTACTGCAGTAAATATGGTAACCATTTTTATCGCGATAGTTGCCGGATCTATAAAGGGTAAGTACAAATTTCTGCAATTATAATTCTGCTTATTCGGAGTTTAAATATTATATCATCTGTTTTTCTATTATGCATCCACCGTTAAAGACATTAGCGATAATCACAATCAATTTCAATATGTCTGCAGCAATTTTGGAAAGTTCTATTGTTGTTTTTGCAGTCTATTACTTTAAATTTTTCAACCAGGATGTGATTCGTCTTCCAGGTTTCCTTTTTCCTTCCACCTTCCCTTGTATAACCAATCGCATTAACTCATATTATTAATTACTTAGTATGCGTCAAAAATAGCTCATTTTCCTTCTGTTGAGTATCTCTTTTTCTTTTTTTCTTCTTTTGGTGCCTATTCTCTGTGGATGTTGGCAATCACGTTGGTCTATATAACTTTGTTGACAGCTGTTCTAAATAGATGTATGGTAGTCATTTCTGCCCACTATCTGATGTTCTTTATGTTAAACCAAGGTATTGTCCCTACAAAATGGAACAATGCAATTACTATCCTAATACACAAAAAAGGAGATATATCAGACCTAGAGAATTATAGACCGATAAGTCTGTTGTCACATATCTACAAATGGTTTACCAAGATCATCACAAAACGTTTAGAACGAAAATTAGATTTCTATCAGTCTAAGGAGTAAGCTGGGTTTAGGAAAGGTTATGGAACAAATGACCACCTACAAGTACTTAAAATACTAATTGAAAAATGTGTTGAATATAATAAACCACTCACGTTGATTTTCATAGACTTCAAGAAAGCTTTTGATACCGTGGAATTACCGGCAGTATTACGAGCATTAGAACAAAGCCGAGTAGACTATAGATATACAAATTTGATAAAACATATATACAAAAACGCAACAGCATCTGCTAAACTCCATGACTTTACCGATAAATATAGAATTGAGCCAGGAATTAGACAGGGCGACACCATCTCCCCCCAACTATTCACTGCAGCTCTGGAATATGCCTTTAAAAAACTAGATTGAGCTAAAAGGGGAATAAATATTGATGGTGAATACTTAAGCCACTTGTGCTTTGCAGATGATATTGTCATTGTAGCCGAGAGTTTAAATGAAGCTCACAAAATGATGGACTGAACATAAACTTTGAAAAATCAAAATACTTGACCAATTTAGTTCCAAGTGATATTATGAGGCTAGATGGGAACGAAGTACATCAGGTCTTTAGCTACATTTATTTAGGGCATGAAATTAGAATAGGAAAAGACAATCAAATTTGTGAGATCCTGCGTCGCATAGGCTTGGGATGGGCAGCATTTGGTAAGATGCGAGATATTCTAAAAGGAACGCTACCGATTTGCTTGAAAAAAAGGTTTACAACCAATGCATACTGCCAGTAATAACATATGGTTCCGAAACAATAACTTTAAGAAAACATTCTGCAAATAAATTGAGAGTAACCCAAAGAAAAACGGAAAGAGCAATGTTGGGAATAACTAGAAGAGATATGGTACCAAATAGGATAGTGAGAGAGAGGACTAAAGTGACAGATGTCATAGAAAAATTGCACAAGATAAATGGAGATGGGCTGGACATATAGCACGTTTAAATGATAATAGGTGAACCAAAAGACTCACAGAATGGAGACCTAGAGAAGACAAAAGACACCAAGGCAGACCACCAAAAAGATGGATGGACGACTTGAGAAAAACAGTCGGGGAAATTGGATACAGAAGGCGCAAGATAGAGAACAGTGGAAGAACACGGAGGAGGCCTATATCCAACAGTGGATGCAAGAGGTTGAGGAATGATGATGATGATGATGATCTGATGTTCTTTAACCACGATGTCCTTCTGCGCCCTTGAGATCTTTTGTCTTCTATCTTGACTTGTTAAATTAGTTGAATTAGTTGATATTTCTCATTGCGCATCACATGTCCTAAGTAGGTCATCTTTCTGATTTTCACGATACGCATAATTTTAAGATCTTTATTCATACGTTGGACCACGGTGTTGTTTGTAACATAATAGATATAGGAAATTCTTATTTCATTTGGGACATTTTTTTATGCTACCTCCACCATTTTAAGTACTTAAAATTTGTAAATAACAGTGTCGGAATAGGGTCCTGGTGGGGGAGTGGTTTAACCCCCAGTCCATTCCCCTGGATGCGTCACTGGCTGCATCCACGATATGTAATTTTGATGACTATTTCCAAGGGTTCATTAATAACTGTGAATTGGTGCTGTATTACGTCGTTTTTACTTACTACAAAAATTTTGGTCTTCTTACAGTTTTATTTTATGCCACATCTATCACAGGCTTCCACTACACGGTATATTAATGTTTCCAGATCCTTCGCATTATCAGCAATCAAAACCGTATCGTCCCCGTATCCTAAATGTTTATGAGTTCACCATTGATTTTTATACCTTCTCTTATACTATCAATAGCTTCCCTGAATAGCATTTCCGAGTAAGTATTGAACAACGTCGGTGACAAAATGCAGCCCTGACATACTCCCCGTTTTATCGTGAATTCTTGTGATTCTTCATTGTTTACTCGTAGAGTTGCCCTTTGCTGTAAGTATAAATTTTTTTTTTTTTTTTTTTTTTTTTGAACCTATTCTCTATCCTTCCATTGTTGGACATAGGTCTCCCCCAGTTCTCTCCATCTTTCCCTATCTTGAGTTGTTCTCTGCCATGAGGGACCTCCTTGTTTCCTGATGTCATCTTTCCACCTCATCTGTATTCTGCCTCTTGATATCTCTTTGCATTGTATGGACGCCACTTTCCGATGGCATTGTTCCATCGTCCGTCTTGGAGACGTTCATTGTGTCCAGCCCATTTCCATTTCAGTTTTGCTGCTTGTTCTATCGCGTCTACTGTCTTTGTTCTGCTCTGATCCACTGGTTACGTTTTCTATCTCTAAGTGATACACCCAACATTTGTCTCTCCATCGCTCTTTGTGCCTTCCTTATCCTATCCAAATTGGCCTGTGTAAATGTCCATGTCTGTGCTCCGTAGGTGAGCACCGGTATTATGCAGGAGTTATATACCTTGCTTCGTAAGTATAGAGGGATTGTTTGATTTTTTAAAACGTAAGAAAGTTTACCGAACGCTGCCCATCCCATTCTTACTCGTCTCGATATTTCGGCTGTTTGATTTTCTCTGTTAGCTCTGATTGCTTGTCCTAGATAGATATACTCATTTACCTGTTCTATTTTTTCTGTTTTTATTTTTATTGCCTCTTGGTCTTCCGTGTTTGTCATTACTTTTGTTTTGTTGAAGTTAATTTTTAGGCCTTTTTGCAGTGATTTTTCATGAAGTTCATTCAGCATTAATTCCAGTTCTTGTCGTTCCGAGGAGATCAGGAGTATATCATCCGCATATCTAAGGTGATTTAGGTATTTTCCGTTAATACATATTCCTCTGTTTTCCCAATCTGTTGATTTTATTATGTCTTCGAGGATCAAGGTAAACAGTTTAGGTGAAATTATATCGCCTTGTCGGACTCCTCGTTTAACTTTTATATTATCCGTTATTAATTTGTCGTCCAGAATTACGGTCATGGTTGCGTTTTGGTAAATATCATGTATCAATTGTCGGTATCTTGAATCTATTCTACTATTGACCAGAGCTTCTTCAACCGCCCAGTGTTCAATGCTGTCGAAAGCCTTTTCATAATCTACGAATGCTAAGTACAGCGGAAGGTTGTATTCATTGGTTTTCTCAATTAAGATTTTAAGCGCATGTAGATGGTCGATTGTGCTGTATCCTTTCCTGAATCCGGCCTGTTCCACTGATTGTGGAACAATTCTTAATTAGGCATAAATTTTTGTTATTAATACTAGATTCTTTCAGTATCTGAAATAATTTTTGATGTTGCACCTTGTCAAATGATTTTTCAAAGTCTATAAAGCATGCCTAGCTCTCAATTTACGTCTCGAGCTCTTTGTATCAATACTTGTTTGAAAAATAGGGCCTCTTGCCTTCCCAGTCCTCTTCTAAACCCAAACTGAACACTGCTAATGTTTTCTTCTAATTTTATATATATGCGAGAGTGAATAACAGAAAGAAGGATTTTGAGTGCATGGCTCATTATGCTTATAATTCTGTAATCAGAGCATCTGGTGGAATTTGCTTTTGTATGGAGAGGGATGAAGGTGAAATCTAGCCAATCTGTAGAAAATTCTGCAGTTTCATAGATTTTGTTCAGTAGACTCGTTAGGAGTTTGAGTTGGTTGTTTTCAAATAGTTTCAATATTTTTGTGTGTTATCAGGTCCAGGTGCTTTGTTAGTTTTTAATCTTTTAATTGCATATGTTACTTCACTGAGCGTTATTTCTGGTCCTGAACATCCAGAAACACTCACTTCTATCTCTTGCTCTTCCTTGAATAATTCTTCCATGTATTGCCTCCATCTCTCAAGTACTCTCTCATTTCGTATAAGATGTTGTGGTCGTCTAGTATTAAGTTATGACCTCGTGATCCGTTTCTTCCCCTTAAGTTTTTGATCTTTCTCTTTTTTAGTCTTTCTAAAGTATTTGTTACGTACAACAGGACATATTTTATGTATCATCTCAATACTCTAGTTGTAATTTCTAGTTTCCATTGCAACCTACGGCTTTCATCTTATTAAAAGCGTTTGTGGCCATCTCAATGCTCTGCCCAATTGTTCACTTAGCTCACGTCTCAGATAGTTGAATCTGGAAACTTCCCCTAAACATATAATACTTTTATGCACTATTTATCAACTAGGTGTTTGATAAAGTTAGACTTAATGGTTATTGTATAATTTCACAAGGAAACTAAATTCATGTGGTTGTTTGTATATCATGTATATGTCAAAAAATATCACATTTCTCCCCTTAGTTCTTATTCTTATAGTACCATAGCTTCATTGGACGCTAGTTTATAACATCTCTGAATAGTCATCCATCCATCCACTCATCAAACATCACAGGCGTATCCGTAAGTATCTATGATGGATAAATTTTCCCTTCAGAAAAATGGGAGGCTGACAAATCTGGATTTCTTTTCTTTATGTGCCGTCTTCTACCGAAGGTTGGCGACCATCATACGATAGGTTTCTCTGTTTTGTGCCGCATGAATTATGTTCGCAGCTTCTGGTATTTGAAACCATTCTCTCAAGTTTCTCAGCCAGGATTTCTTCTTTCTGCCCAAACCTCTTCTACCTTCAATCTTGCCTTCCACGATAAGCTGTAGCAGACTGTACTTATCATTACGGAACACATGGCCCAGGTATGACGCTTTCCTCCTTTTAACAGTTGTTAACAATTCCACCTCTTTACCCATTCGTCTTAATACCTCTGTGTTGGTCACTCTGTCTGTCCAAGGTATTCTCAGTACACGTCGATACAGCCACATTTCTAGAGCCGCTAACTTCTTTATAGTTGCTGCTGTTAACGTCCACCCTTTTACGCCGTAAAGTAGCGTAGAGAGTACGTAGCATTTCGTGGCGCGCCATCGGAGGTTAATGCTTAGGTTGCGGTTGCTTAAGAGCTTTCTCATTTTGATGAATTTGGATCTTGCTATTTCAATTCGGATCTTAATCTCTACTTCTGGGTCCCACTTGTCATTTACTGTATATCCCAGATATTTAAATCGGTGTACTCTTTCAATACGTTCGTCTTCAATATGCAGGTCGATATGTTGAAATTTTTTTTTTACTGATCACCATAAATTTAGTTTTCTTTCTATTGATCTTCAGTCCAAATCGGCTGCCAGTTGTATTAACTCTATGTAGCATCATCTGTAAATCTTCAATGTTATCGGCCAGTATAATAGTATCATCTGCATATCGAAAATTACTTATTGGTACGCCATTAATCTTGATGCCCTCATTGTACTCTTCTAGTGCCTCTAGAAATATATGTTCCGTGTACAGGTTGAAAAGCAGTGGCGAAAGAATACAGCCCTGTCTTACCCCTCTAGAAATGGTTATGTTTTCACTCACCATATGTCCATTCTTCATGTGGGCTGTTTGATTCCAATATAGATTTTTTATAATCTGGATGTCCTTAGTGTCAAGTCCTGAAATACGTAATAGTTCTATGAGTTTGTCATGTTTGATAGTATCGAATGCTTTCTCATAGTCGATAAAACAGACGTAAACATCTTTCTGTTGATCCAGGCATTTTTGAATCAAAACTTGTATTGCAAAGAGGGGTTCTCGAGTTCCAAAACCGCATCTAAAACCGAACTGTGTTTTACTTATGCTGTGTTCTAATTTTGCTCGTATTCTGGAATGGATAATACGCAAAAATACTTTAAGGGTGTGGCTCATTAAACTTATAAGGCGATATTCACTACACGTCTTAGAATTATATTTCTTAGGAAGGGGCACAAATGTAGATTTCAAAAAATCTGGATTAGTATAATAATAACTTCAATAATTTATATCAGTATTTAATATCTTTGGCTATATATGTTTTTACATATCAATTTCTATTACAGCCGACGTTGGAAACTGGAAAATTGATCCAGCAAAGTTAAACGAGACCGAACGAGCGGTCGCTGGAGAAGGTGGATTCATGCCATTTGGTGTAGCTGGTATTATGGCAGGTGCAGCAAAATGTTTCTACGGTTTCGTAGGTTTTGACGCTGTTGCAACCACGGGGGAAGAAGCCAAAAATCCTCAAAAAGACATTCCTCTGGCTATCGTCATATCGTTGTTTATTATTTTTGCCGCCTACTTTTCTATTTCTACTGTTTTGACGATGGCTTTGCCTTACTATCAACAGGTTAGTATTTTTAGTAAATTATTAAGATTATTAAATAAGTTCTTGGGGTTCTTGGTTTTTGGTTCCGAAACAAAAGTCGATAGCAGCCATTCTGTAGGTGTCCAGCAGTCCATACTTGCTTTATTTCAATTGGGTTATTAATAGGTTTTATTATGCTTACTTGCTATTATTATGCTACTTAAATGTATCCGATAAAGAAATTCCGTTTCAAATAAGATAGAACATCTTCGGCTTGCTGCACAAGATAAATGGAATGCAATTTTGCAAAAATATGTCAAAAATTTACTTGCAAGCATGCCGAGAAGAATGCAAGCAGTAATAAGAGCTAGAGGGGGGAATATTCGTTACTGATCTTGCACTTACTTCAATTAAAAAGACTTGGTTAGGCAATTTAAATTAGCATTTAAGTTTAGAGTAAAATAACCGTATTTATTTTACATTAAGCATTATTTTTTGCCATTTTTTTCCGCATAAAAACTTAAAATTGTTCGTTAAATATTATTAAAATAAACTTTTCTTCACAATAAACGACTTGATTGAGCGTTGATTTAGTACAATAAATAAGTAATTTGATGGTAAAACAGAGCTAAATGCAAACAGTATATAAATTGAAACGTCTAAATATCGAATCACATATACAGTGATGAGTGCTTTCCACCCGGCTTTTTAACGTAAGAGATAGAAAACACAGTTACCTTGTGAAATAAAAAGAGATAAAACTCGTAGAGGTGGGAAATAATCGATAGAAACCTATAATTTACATTACATTGCATTACCACTATCGATAGTCTCATACCTTTAGACGTTAGACGTGGCTATTTGACTTCAGTCATAATTATACGGATAACCTCAAAAATATTTTATTTCAATAATTTCTGATGTTAGAATAAATACTTGAAGAATAAATTAAGATATATTATAGTAAAAAACATTCATTAGTAGCGATTTTAAATTATAAATCTTTAAATTTATTTAATAATAAAAATAACTCAACTGAAATATTTGACTAAAATAAAGGTAGATATGTTCTGTCCGAAAACAATTAATGTATGTGGAATTGGTGTAGTAGTTAAGGACGTTGTTTATTGACGAGAAAATTGGGGTTCAATTCACACCAATGATAAAATTTTTGTTTTATCAATAAGAAAATCATAGAAAATATGATACATATTAGGTAACAAATTTTCTAAAAACTCATTATTTACAATTTATTTTTATTCCAATGTTATAAAACGGAAATACAAAATAATTCAAATTCAATTCATACAGTCTTCAGTTGTGAATACAAAATAATCCGGTAAAGACGGTTTATATCAAATCCATCATTAAATTCTCAATGTTAATATCAATTCCTCTGTACAGGTAAAGATTTTCAAAACAGTTGACAATTTTAAATACGTTTATTTACAATATTTTTTTATTTTTGTAGAATTTTTACTTATTTAAACATTTTTTAAACGTTCTTTTAATTTTGAGGAATATTTACTTTATTTTCGAAAGTACGACGGACACTTTTTTAAATAAGATATTTATGTTTAACTTTAAACACTTCTAATACTAGTAACGACTGACATAAATGTTTAGTGATTTAAAGCAAAACGATATCTGCATAATTTCAAATTATTAAAAAAAGAAAAAGGAAATTATTCCGTGACAAGAGTGTATGAAACTCCTCAAATCATAGTAGAAATTATTCTTGGTTAATAATTTAAAACTTTAGAATAAGTAATCACTATTAATTAAATTATTTTATTCACATTTTTGCTCTATTGTGGTCAATCAGTTTTTACTTTATCTAAATTAAAAAATGGAAATACGTCACACATACGACGTCAAACTGTCAAACATAATAATTATGACCGAGGTGATTTAGATCGAAGCTAACGTCTAAAGGTGTGAGACTATCGATAGTGGTAATGTAATGTAATGGAAATTATAGGTTTCTTTCGATTATTTCTCACCTCTACGAGTTTCATCTTCTTTTATTTTACAAGGTAACTGTGTTTTCTATCTCTTACGTTAAAAAGCCGGATGATAAGGCACTCACTACTGTATACTGGATTGCGAAATTAACTGGACACCCAGATTTTTCCTAAAAACTGGCGTTTAAAAGAGTTTAGGATGTTCCCAATTGAGTATTAAATAATAAACAAAATTTAAAAGTAAAATAAATTACATATCAAAGATTTAACAAAGAAAAAAAAATCAAAAAATCAAAAAATTTAAAATCTGCAACGAAACAGATATGTTTCTAATTTAAAACATTTTTTAATGAAAATCGATATTTAGTAGAGTGCATCAAGAACTATCATTATAATTTATAACATAGTTACGCATCCATGCTCTATTGGATTTAAGTGTGGACTCCTTGGATGTCCAAGTAATCCAGTATTATTCTTATAATGTACGGATAATCATTGTCTTGCATCAAACGACAGTTTTTTTCCATCAAATGGGCCAAATAGCACTACGTAATCTACCAAACATCGCTCAATATACCTTTTAACTTTGAAATCACCCCTAGAATTGTAACAAGTTCTGAAATGAAGTGAATATCTGCCCACATCATTATACCACCTCTTCACATTAAACTCTGGGAGTAAAAGAACATTGATAATAATGTCCACCAGCTCTTTTCCTAATCCTAGGCCATCCGTCTGATGAGTATCTGTTAAATCTTGAGTCATCTTTTCAGAGTACATGCTTCATTCTTCAACATCCCAAGAGCTAAGTGTAAACGTTGCCTCAGATGATTTTCTATTAATAAAGGTATCGTGACAGGTATTCTGGACCTTAATCCAAATGGTGTTCATAAATGGAAACTGTGTTTCAAGCGACATCATTTAATCGGTGAACAAGTACTGCTGCTAATAATGTGCGCTTGCGCAAAGTTTACACTTTAATAAAGCGATCTTCAACTTGACTTCATCTATCTTGACCTGGCCTCTTGGTGTATCGTCCTGTTTCCTGAAATCTTTGTATTGCATCAAACACTGTACTGGAAGAAGTTCTTAAAGGAGAAAACAAAAAAGAACTAAAGCCAAACTTTTAAAAACTTAAAATACCAAAATAAACGTAATAAAGTATGGCACAAAATAATATTTAACAAAAATTTAAGAAGTTTTTATTAAAAAAATGAAAAAATACATAAAAATCTGAGGGTTCGGTTAATTGTTCAATCCAGTATATTAATTAGGTATTTTGAAGACGGTATACCTATGTCACTTGTTAGATCGAAATAGGAGTGTCCGTATTTTTTGGTAACATTAGTGATTCCCCAAATAATTTTAAAAACAAATGTTGGATTTTTGGTAAAAATTGAAGGTCATACGTTATTATAAAAGTATAATAGTGGCATACAAGGTTTTTCCGAAAAAAGTAGGATACTTACTTTTGAGAGACTTGATGCCATAACCTTTGCCACAATAATTTTTACGACTGTTGAAGCATCTTAGAAGTTATTGCAAGGGAAATTAATAATTTAAAAACTGTCTATGCAATAATAATCGGTGATTTCAACACAAAAATAAAACTAAAAGAAGACGTGTTATACATTATTTTATTATATTTATTTTATATGCAAATGATTTTAAATCAAGTAAAATTTTGATAACTAGTCTAGATATAATATACAAATACAATGTTTTCCAATAGTATTGATGAATTTATATTGATACATTAAGAAGTTGCTATCTTATATTTTAGGATAAAGACGCTCCATTTCCTTACCTTTTCCATTACTACGGTTGGGAATCGATAAAATGGATAGTTACGATCGGTGCGGTCTTTGCTCTCTGCACGAGTCTCTTAGGAGCGATGTTTCCGTTACCTAGGGTTATTTATGCCATGGCCAATGACGGTATTGTATACAAATCACTATCCAAAGTTAGTAAAAAGACGAAAACACCAATTTTTGCCACGTTGCTGTCGGGATTGTTATCAGGTAAATATAAATATAGTTGAAGTATTTTGCAGTCAATAAATTGACATAACCTTTATTTAGAAAACTAGTTTTTCAAAAAATAAACCATGGTATAGCAAAAGAATGAAACGATGAAGAAATTTAGATAAATTATTTGATAAATATTTCTCTTCTTCTCGTAGTACCTATCCGTTTTGGATGTTGCCGACCATCATGGCAATCTGTATTTTGCAAACTGCGCTGCGGCTCTGAAAAGATTTGTGGTTTTTGCGTTGATCCGCGTATGTAGATTTTTTAGCCAGAATATACTTCGTCTTCCTGGATCTCGTTTTCCTTCAAATCATGACAAATCTTGTGTTAAGCGTGTTCAATCACAAATTAACCCCTTAATTTGTAATCTCACATTATTCTTAACTTCTTAATCGTTTATAGTTTTACCGTGTATAAGTTTGCATTATACATATTGCAAAACCATATCGTATGATAATTTAATAATTAGTTCATTTACCTACAACTAAATAAATTGCCGAATAACAATATTTTCTAATTGAACTTCCTAAGTGTCGCAATTAAGGCGTAGATTAAATTGTATTATAAGCAAAAGTTAGGTGGTGTGATATGAACGAAGCAATGACCTAAGGTGCTTATGTCTCTATTATGTGTGAGATTATAAATTGGTGATTTGAGTTCAAATGAACACAGTCAATATTGAGTAGTTACCGAACGAACACCATATTGTGTAATTACGAGTTGCTGTCAATAAATCATCACTTTTACCCCACAACTTTAACATTTATTAACCCTATCAGCATCGATCGACGAGAAGCGGACAAAGGGGCATTACGAACCGAACCGAACTTCATTACTACGTTCGATAATTTTCCAAAGCGAAAAGATTTCAGTAAATGGCATGCATATTGAAGAAACCACCTCTTATAAGTACTTAGGACATGAGATACGCATAGGAAGATATAATCAAACGTGCGAACTAAGCCGCCGCATAGGACTCACTTGGGTGGCATTCGGCAAGCTGAGCTATGTTCTTAAATCAGAACTGCCTATGTGTCTTAAAAGAAAAGTCTTTAATCAGTGCGTGTTGCCAGTACTTACATATGGTGAAGAGACATTAACACTAACCAAGAAAGTAAGAAATAAAATTTGTGTTACCCAAAGAGCCATGGAACGATCGATGTTAGGCATTTCTCGTAGGGATCGGATCACGAACAGGAAAATAAGACGGAGAACAGAAGTGACAGATGCCATAGAAAGAATTATGACCCTTAAGTGGAACTGGGCGGGGCACATAGCTAGAATGTCGGATAACAGATGGACACAGCGAATAATACAGTGGAGACCGAGATAAGAAGCATATCGAAGTAGAGGTCGTCCACCAACAAGATGGTCTGATGACATAAAACGGATCGACAAAAATTGGATGCAAACAGCACAAAACAGAAATACATGGAAAATACTGAGGGAGACCTATATCCAACAGTGGATAGATCCAGGTTAAATGATGATGATGAACAACTTTTTTCGTTTTTGCATTCTTAATAAAACGTCCTGGTTAGTAACGTGGTCGGTCTAGGATATCTTCAGGATTCTACGATAAAGCCACATTTCGAAAGCCACAATTTTCTTACAGGTAGTGTCTGTGAGAGTCCATGATTCGACTCAATGATATTATGACTTCAATCTATTGCAATGGACTATTTGCAAATGATTTTTTTATGTAATACTTGTATATAGTGGTCGTAATGCAGCCATTTGGATGATCTAACATTGTGTATGTGTACTGTCTGTGTTAAGCATTTGCCTTAGTGCTGGGTAACGTCGGCGTTATTGGTTCGGGTTAATAATGCAGATAATTTTAAGATATTTTTAAAATTGCTTCCAGTGACTGATGCTTTGTACCTACAAAATCGTCTGATTGCACTCAGTGATGGATGTAACGGGAATAGTATGGAGTTAAATGTTGAACAGTGTCACGTAGTATCTCAATCATCAATCTCTTTGATGATTACCTTGATGGAAAAAAATTAAAAAAGTTAAAATGTAGCTCTACAGTTAAATACAAAGAACAATTTGTCAGTTAATGTGTTAAAAAAATTAAATAGATATTATTTATGTATTCATGAACCGTTACACCATAAATTAAATATGTTTGGAACCACTTTAAAAATAACCTTGACTCATACAAAATTTCGGGACAAGTTTTACTGCAGAACAAACTAGAAAAAACTAGTTTTCTCGATTTAAAAAAATACTTATTATGCGGTTAAAATTTTACCTAAATAAAGTATTTTCCATTTTACCTTCGGGATGCTGCAGCGATGGAATCCCCATTCGTGGTTAATTTCATATTCAGCATTCATATTCAAATATTTATTTGTATTCAAATTAAAATGTAAATATGTGTATAAAAAGAACTCAATCAGTATATACTATGGATGCATATAAAATAACCACAAAATATTATGTAACAATAAAACACTGAAAACTTTGTTTTCAAACTTCCACAAAATTTATTTTAAATCTTATCACTACAGCTGTTTCGGCCAATTGCCTTTCTTACTTGATCTATTTTTGGCTTGGGTTTACAAATTTATAGTATCTAATGAAATAGGTTGAGGAGGGGAGAACTGTTTGTCTCAAGTTGGTCATTCAGAATTATATCTGTATTTTTTAATTTGTTGATTTCCATAGATTCTAACAAAGATAGCTTAAGGCCTTTATTTTGAATGTAAAGAATTTTAAATTTGTCATTAAAAGAATGATTATGATCTAGAAGGTGAAGTGCGTATGTCGAATGTGTTTTTCTATTTTTGAAAGCCCTTTTATGTTCTGCTATTCGTTTATCAAAGTTTTTACCAGTTTGACCGATGTGAGTTTTTGGGTAGTCGCCACATTGAAGTTTGTAAACATCACTATTTAAATGTTTTTTATTTTTTCTCTTGTTATTTTTAATATATTTGCCTAGGTTGTTATTTGTTCGGAAAGCTAGTGTTATTCCTTTCTTTTTTATGTGTTTGGCAATTTTTGTTGTTATTTTGCCTGTATATGTAATCGAGCAGAAGGTACTGGGTTTTTTCTCTGGTGGTGGAAGTACTAATTTCAGGGCATTCTTGTGTAGTTTTTGATATTTCCACCACCAGAGAAAAAACCCAGTGCCTTCTGCTCGATTACATATACAGGCAAAATAACAACAAAAATTGCCAAACACATAGAAAAGAAAGGAATAACACCAGCTTTCCGAATAAATAACAACCTAGGCAAATATATTAAAAATAACAAGAGCAAAAATAAAAAACACTTAAATAGTGGTGTGTACAAACTTCAATGTGGCGATTGCCCAAAAACTTACATCGGTCAAACTGGGAAACTTTAATAAACGAATAGCAGAACATAAAAAGGCTTTCAAAAATAGAAAAACAGATTCGACATACGCACTTCACCTTCTAGATCATAATCATTCTTTTAATGACAAATTTAAAATTCTTCACATTCAAAATAAAGGCCTTAAGCTATCTTTGTTAGAATCTATGGAAATCAACAAATTAAAAAACACAGATATAATTCTGAATGACCAACTTGAGACAAACAGTTCTCCCCTCCTCAACCTATTTCATTAGAGACTATAAATTTGTAAACCCAAGCCAAAAATAGATCACTTGAGAAAGGCAATTAGCCGAAACAGCTGTAGTGATCAGATTTAAAATAAATTTTGTGGAAGTTTGAAAACAAAGTTTTCAGTGTTTTATTGTTACATAAAATGAATTTCCATCAAGTAACGGTCGAATCCATCAATTACAAAGTATTATATCTACTTGAGAATTATAATCAAAAGAACTAGGGAAGTCAATCATGTAAGACTTGTAGTAAAATTAATTGAATTCATCTTAGCTTCTGAACTTTTAAATTCTTCTTTATAAGATATACTTATTTTTGAAATTATAAAACTACAGCATCAAATACCCATATAAAAAGTCCGATCATCAAGAAAGTAGTTATCGTTCGAATAATGACTTTCATCGACAATTTTTTGGCCAGCATCTTTTACGATTTTATGTTGATATTCATTTTATATATTTTAGTTGCCAACAAATTTTTGGAGTCAGGTTCAATCTTAGAACGAGATAAAATACTAGATATACTAAAGAACCAGTATTTGATTAATAAGAATAAGGTATAAATTCTCCATGTTTAGCATAATCAACGCCCACGCTTCAACTAAGGAGAAAGCAGAACAAAAAAGGAAGAATTTAAAGACAGGTTCAAAATCGGCGATCCTGCCTGTACGTACAAAACTTAGCAAAAATAAAAGTGCATGAAGAGCTATCAAATCGTTTGGTGTTGGTAAGGGCGTAAGGCAAGGCTGCGTTCCCAACCTGGTTAACATCTATGGAGAAGCCATTATGCGTGAAATATATATATATATTGACAACAAAAGAATCAACTACTTAAGGTATGCAGATGATACAACACTTCTTGCCAAATCCTTGAATGAATTAATAAAGCTGCTAAAGCAAGTAGAACGAGTGAATTTTGTCAACCAAAATTTATGATAAAAAATTTTTTATCATAGATAGAAGAAATAATAACCAGTCAGAAATTGTCAGAATCAATAACATTAAAGTGGTGAATTCATCTGTAAATCTGGGTACTCTCATTCTGGACGATACATCTACGAATTCAAAAGAAGATCCAAGCTCCAATGGAGCAATGACACAGTCAACCAAAATCTGGATAAGTCCCAACATCATTATACATACAAATAAGAGGCTAGTAAAAATAATATTCTTCTCCATTTTTTTATATGAGTCTGAATGCTAGTCATTAAAGAAAGTTAATTAACGAACTATAGATAATTCGAAATATTTGGATGGCGAAGAATGTTGAGAATACCCTGGACCGCAAGAATAACTAACAAGTCGATCCTTAGACAGCTACACGTAATAAAAAGCTTGGAAACATTGTTACAGAAAAAAAATCACCATTTACTTTGGTCATGTGAAGATGCTGACAACGGTGCAATGAAACGGTGCAAAGAGCGGGAGGCCGGTAAAGAACACAACAAGACAGTGGAACACGTTACAAAAGAAGTCAGAGTTCTATTGAACCGTTGCTACGAGAGGACAGATAAAGATGCAGACGAATCACGAAATACAACTGAGAATTTAAGGTGGGATGATGTGAGATATCACCATCAGATATTCTATCCAGCTAGAAACCCAATCCCAAGGTTTTCGTGACTTTATTTATCGAAAACCCATCCACACCAATCGTTACTTACATGCCAACTCTCATCATTCCCCTTCACAAATTAATTCAGTCATTAATACGCTTATCTACAAATCAGTACGGCTTTGCGATGATGCAAGTAGACCCGCTGAGCTCTCTAGTTTAAAATAAGCCCAAGTCCAAAAGGGTTACCGCTAAAATCTCATCAATAGAAGCATCTATAGACATCAATCTTCCACTCAATCTCGACCTAAAGAATCCAAACACGCTTTCTGTTCACATTTCTGTTCACACTTCCGACTCAATTTCAGCTCTAGGTCAACACCATTTTTATACATGTCACAAAATTGGTTTTGAAAACTGTAGAATCATAGCGCCCATTTGCTTCTATAAACCAATAATTACCCGATAAATCATACAAATTGAAAAAAGGCCAAATTGTCTCAATAAAAGAGATGATGGCATATGGTTACCATCTCCTGTAAAGAAAGTATCGCGGAATCAGTGTGTCATTAAGCAATTTTTATATTCGTTATTCTAGATATGTCTTTATCGTCTGTTTCTTCTGCTTTAAAATGAATTTTCTTAAATTGGTAGTGTTATCGTTGTTTAAGGCCAAATATATTGCCCCATCAAGTACGCAAAGCTACCAGGTTTTTTCTGTTTGACCCAATTTTGCTTTATTTATCTATAATTTAGGGATAATGTGTTCCTTATCTTCTCCTTAATTCATGGATTTAGAATCATCCATCAATCTGTACAAGCGACATCCTACACTTTTATTCTGTATTGTATTATTTTCTCTTTGATATTTTCTAGTAGATTTAGTTCTTCCCTTAAATCTTCGTTTCACGTCTATCTAGTCTTGTAATGCATTTCCTTTTACTGAGAAATCCATTTTCACTCAAGCTTCGATTGTACAGTTAATATTTGCCATGGTATCATAGGTTGGTGTAGACCTCTTTTGGAATGAAATTCTGTTGTTGAACTCAGTTCGTCCACCATTTATTATTTTGTTCGCTAGTTCATACATTTTTCATTTAGTTCGTGCATGTAATAGTAGGGGAGAATGGGTTACAGTGAACCACTTTTTATTTGGAGTGGTGTAACTCAGGAAAAAATATGCATATATGTCTGAAATTTGGATGATGAATGCTATAAGGTACGAACTTCTGCTCTCATAAGTGAAACATGATATAACCAGATGTTTGGTACTAGTTAAAATATATATTTTTCAAAGCGTCACTTGGTTCAGTGTGCCCCCGTCCTTGTGAACAGTGAACCAGGCTATGGGTAACAATGAACCAAATGGTGGTACAGAGAATCAGCAGGTTTCTTGGAGAAAAGAAAACGCATGATATAGCAAAACCTTTGATAACTCACTACTAGTACAAACTAGCGTATATCTATTTGAGTAAAATTTAATTTGAATGAATAGAATGACTGTTGTCGTTTAGTATTCCCACAAATAGTTGGTTTTGGTAATATCAATTTTACGTCTGACAGTGCAACCGGAGATACGTCTAAAACGTCTGGCAAACGGAATGTGTTTTCCATTTTATAGTTTCTTCTTAAAAAACTTACTTCTACTTCTTGTTCCTTGGCCTCTTGTAATACCTTAGCAACGTAATAGACTTTACCATTCTTCCCATTGAATTCAACCAACACATAGTCTCCTTCACTGGGTAATTTTTCTAATGGATTAAAAGAGTCGGAGGTCATAATATTCTCCTCATCACCGCTTTCATAATAGTCTTCTACCTCAGAATGAACACTGAACGTATCTTCTTCATCTGTTGTATCTTCTGGTTCTTGAAACACTTTTTTCTTTATGGGATGCGCTTTCTTCTTTCTCTGCTTTTCTGCTTCGCGCTCCTCAATTTCCATTTTTTCTGGGGTGTCCGTGGCTATCATAGATTTACCCTTTCGTCTTGGTTTTCTGGTATTTTTTCTCGGCCCAGCCTTTGGCAGCCCTCGAAATTGATCCGGAGTTACAAATTCCAAAGATATTTCAGCCTCAGAGTCAGGAGTTCTACTTCTACTATGTTCGGCTCCGACTGCCAGTGGATTTTCTGAATTGAAGATTTGGCCATCTGGAGTATTCCCATTATTTTCAGTAATGGGCCTGTTAGTAACTTCACTTGGCAAGAAGTCTATGTCGGTAAAAACATTTCTATCGTACGGGAAGATGCCGGTATTCTTAAAGGAACTACAAATATTTGACGGAGTCATTGCCTTCATATGTGCATCCCCAACGCAAGCAGCTACCTCATAAATTGTTAGAGGTTTTCCTGGATTCCGCATCATCCAACTGTCTACAGCTGCATTGTAAGCAGTTTTGAAAGGTTTATAAAGGCAAACGTCTAAGGGTTGCATCTTTCCGGTAGAATGAGGCGGAACTGTTAATATTGTCACACCATTTTCCTTTGCCAATTCAATGGCTTTTATGCAAATATGAGCTTCAAAGTTGTCCATTATCAGTAAGCTGGGGTTTTCTTTGCTAGTGTTTGAGAATTTAATAAAGTGTTCCATCGTGTCTACAAATAGTGTGCTATTCATCCACCCAGACTGTGTCGCCAATCCTAACGTTCCGGTGGGAGCCCCATTTGTCATGTGATGCTTAAAATGGACACGAGGAAAAATCATGACTGGTGGTAAAAAATTGCCGGAAGCATTGACGATACAACAGGTTGTTACTAATGTTCCCTTTTCACCACTAGTGACTTTGCTGACCTGTTTTTGTCCTTTCGCTGCGAGCACCTTTTGAGATTTTTGCACGGTCAGGGAACTAGTTTCGTCAAGATTATATATCCTAGTCCCATCAGCAAATTCGGGCTTACGTAACATAACTTCTTGTAACTTATCATAAAATATGTTCACATTATGTCGGTTAAATGACGTAGCTCGGGACAGGCTACATCCTTCAGGTGTCCTAAGGCTTAACCGGGGATGTCGCTTTCTAAAATTGTATAGCCATTCCATGCCAGCAAGCTTTCGATCATTCCATTTTTCAGGAATTTTGACGTTGTTGACTATTGCCATTTCGTAGGCCAGCTGGCGACATTCCAGCAGTGTTAACCCGTAAAACATTTGGCTACATTTTACAATATAATTGGCCAGTGCTTCTTCCTGGATGGCTGTGAAAATTTTATTCACTTCATAATTAGGAGTTAGCCGTATTGGTTCATCTGTATTTTTAAATTTTTGCCAATATCTTCTAACAGTCGGATAAGGAATCCCTTTAAGTTTTGCCACACTTCTTATGCTTTGATTTTCTCTCGATATGAGGTCTAAAGCACTTCGCATCTGCTCTTCACTGTGCATGCCAATGTTTGTTTTTCTAACTCGGTTGCGTGGCATTTTGAATCTGAAACAATAAATAAACGTAATCATAAACCAAATTATGATTAATGAAATTAAATGCATACATTCTAAGGGCCGGTTGTTCGAACGCTATTCAAAAATGATCATTACCAAATATTTAATTACTGTCACCAACTGTCAATGTCAATTTTTATTGGGTTGCTGAAAACATAATCGATTACCATTATGAAATTAGTTAATCAATTATGTTAATAATTGTTATGTTAATTGATTCACTAATCTCATAATTGTACTCAATTTATTATGTTTTCAGCAACCCAATTAAAGTTGACATTGACAGTTGGTGACAGTAATTAAATATTTGATAATAATCATTGTTGATTAGCGTTCGAACAACCGGCCTTGTATAACATTTGCACAGTAAACCATTATGGGTTACAGTGAACCAGGTTCAGTGTAACCCATTCGTCAATGGTTCGCTGTTACCCACCGCCACCTATTTAACTAAAAAATTTATTTAAACAAAAATAAACTACATTGATTTGAAAGACAAGATAAACAGTATGTACAAAGACCTATTAAGTAGCTTGGAACTATAATTGATCTGAATTTACCGCCAGGCTTGGAACAAAACAAATAAATACAACAATGTGAAAAAAAGCATTCGACTTACCGTTCAGCAGATATCGAAATAAACATCTACACACTATGTTAGCTTGATGCGAACTAAAGTAGTAAGGTGTCGCGTAAAACCAGCAGATATTTGAAGAATAGAGTTGGGCGATAAAGTGCATAGGCAAAGAGTGGGGGCTGCTGGTTCACTGTGTAACATGGTTCACTGTGACCCAAGTTCCCCTATCAGACAAACTTTAAGTTTGTTTTTTTTTTCATTGTAGAAGGTAAAATGTAAGTTTTGCTTGTTGCAGGATATCATGTGTAGGATGTATAGATTAGGATTAATATTCTTTTAAATTTTTCTAAGAAGTTTGCAGAATAGAACACAGCGTTCAAAAAATTCTACAATTTTGAATAAATTTCAATACATTCATTAAATTGACGGCAAAAATATTAAGTGCTATTAATATACTGCAAACCTTAATGAATGTTAATATTTACCTTATTTTTGTAGGTATTATGTCAATATTGTTTGATTTGGATCAATTGATTGATATGATGTCCATTGGAACTTTAATGGCATATACGATTGTAGCAGTATCTGTACTAATCTTGAGGTAAGTTACAGTATAAGTAAAAATATTGACAACTACACTTCAGTTTCTTGTTAATATGATTTCAACTCTAATATCCTTTTACAGTTTTTGATTTATTAATTTTTTAATATATCGTGGGATAAGAATACTATTGCGAAAAGTGGCGATTTATTTCTCAAAATAGTCTCCTTTTACCTCGATATACTTGACCCAACGATGGTCCAACTTCTCTAACCCGTCTGAAAAATACGTGTACTCGAGGTCTGCAAAGTAGGCTTTCGTGGCGACGATGACCTCTTCATTCTACTTAAATTTCTGCTCAGCGAGTGCCCTTTTTAAGTTTGGAAAGAAAAAAGTCACACGGGGCTAAGTCTAGAGAATACGGTGAATGGGGCAACAATTCACAACCCAATTTGACCAATTTAGCCATATCAAAAATGGAGATATGGGCCTATGCGTCGTCATGGTGAAAGAATACTTTTTTCTTTGCCAAATGTTTGTCGCTTGTCTGCCCTTGGCCGCCATTCTAAAATCTTCTTTGTCCATCTGTTGTCTCTCTGTCTTGCGACGTGTCCTGACCATTTCCACTTCAACTTCGTAATCCGTTTTATGACGTCTTCCACTCCAGTTCTTCGCCGTATCTCATCATTTCGTATTCGGTCTCTCAAAGTCTCGCCAAGCATAGATCTTTCCATTTTTCGTTGTGCTACTTGTAACTTTTTTATTGATGCTTTAGTCAATGTCAGTGTTTCAGCTCCATAAGTGAGCACCGGAAGTACGCACTGGTTAAATGCTTTTCTCTTTAGCTTTATTGGGATATTTTCCTTAAACACGTCTTTTAGCTTGCCATAGGCTGCCCATCCTAAAGCTATTCTTCTAGATAATTCGCATGTTTGGTTGTCTCTACTTATTTGTATTTCGTGGCCCAGATATATGTATTTGTCAACCCTTTCAATATGCCAGTTTTCTAGTTTCAATGGTCCACTAGGTACTAAGTTGGTCATCATTTTAGTTTTCGCAAAGTTTATTTCCAGCCCTACTTTTTGGGAGACTCGTTGTAAATCTTGTAGCATTTCGTTGGCCTCCTTTAGGTCGTCGGTTATTAGAACTATGTCATCTGCAAATCATAGGTGGTTCAGCCTTTCGCCATCGACACTCAAACCTCTGTTTTCCCATTCTAACATCTGGAATGCATGCTGCATTACGGCATTGAATAGTTTTGTGACATGTTGTCTCCTTGTCTAACTCCCCTTTTTAGTTTTATTTTTTGAGTAGGGGTGTGGAGGTTTATAGTTGTTGTGGCATTTGCATATATATGTTGAATAATGCTGGTATATCGGTAGTCGATTCTACAATCTCTCAAAGTTCTTAAGATAGCTACCATCTCGATAGTGTCAAAGGCTTTTTTATAGTCAACAAATACTAGAACTAGTGGCCGGTTGTACTCTATAGTTTTTTCAATTAGGGCCTTTAGACAAGTTAGATGGTCATTTGTACCATACCCAGGGCGGAAACCTGCCTGTTCTCTTGGTTGGCATGTTTCTAGTTTGTTCTCAATTCTGGCAGTGATAATTCGAGCAAATAATTTATACAGGTGACTTAGAAGACTGATTGGCCTATAGTTTTCGAGGTCTGTTTGATCTCCTTTCTTATGCATGAGGAGCGTTATAGAATTATTCCATTCAGCTAGTATTGCTTGGTTTTCTAAGCATATATTGAAGAGCTGCTTGATTGTCCTGATTAGAGCAGAGCCTCCGATTTTTAGCGCATCCGCCACTACTCCATCTTCTCCTGGTGCTTTGTTTTTTTTTTCATTTTCTTTAGAGCATGGTAAATTTCAGCCGTTGATATGTCGGGAATATCTTCTGAACCTTGATTCATAATTTGTTCTGTATGTTCTGTCGGGTTTAAGTCCAATTTATTTGTGTATAGTGTTTTGTAGAAGTCTTCTACTATCTCTAGCATTTTGTCTCTGTTGGACGTTAGTTTGCCATTCTTTCCCTTAAGTCTGATGATTTCTTTTCTGCTGTTCGTCAATTTCCTTCTTAATATCTTCATGCTCTTATTGTGCTCGATTGTCTGCGAGATTTTCTCATTTTTATATGCCCTTATGTCCTTTCTAATTGCTTTTGAGACCTCTTTGTTGATTTTATTTATGCTTTGTTGTTCTATACTCTTATCTTTTAGCATTTCTCTTCTTTCTTCCATTTTAAGTTTGGTGTTAGCAGTGATTCTCTCCTCTCTCTTGTTACCTGTACAACAGTTTCTTTGAGCTTCTGCTATGGTATTAGTAGTTACTTTATTTAGCTGATTTATATCATTTGTGGGGGGCCTGTTTTGTAGAAGTACCGTTATTTGATCTGCAAACTCTGTTTCATTTTTTGGTTGTGACCATGCTTTCAATTCTTTCTTTCTTATTAGTTTATTTCTCTCTTTATCGATGTTAATTTCTATTCTAGCGCGAACCATTCTGTGATCACTTCCTGTTGTGAAGCTGTTGAGTACAGTGACATCTTTAACTATAAATTTTTTATCTCTTATTATATAGTCAATTTCGTTTTGCGTTCTCCCGTCCGGGCATCTCCATGTCCACCTTCTATGTTGTTTTTTGTAAAAGAAGCTATTCATTTGATATAATTTGTTCTGAAGGAGATAGTTTAATAAAGTTTGTCCGCGTTCATTTCTTCCATCGCTGCCGAAGTTTCCAAGTACAAATTCTGATGGATAGGATTTCATGCCAATTTTTGCGTTCATATCACCACATATGATTGTAAAATGGGTGTGATTTTCTTTCAGGGCTTGTGTTATTTCGTCATAGAAAATGTCTATTTCCTCTTCGCTATGGTCTGTGGTTGGCGCATAAGTCTGTATTATTTTGATGTTATATCTGTCGTTCAACTTTAGAATGACGTATATTACTCTCGTGGATATACCATGTATTGTATGGATTCTACTGTACAGCTGTTTATTTATGAGGAAGCCATGTCAAAACTCGTTAAACAAATTGTTGACGGTTGCCATCAAAGGAAATAGTCACCATACTCTTTGTCAGACAAACAGTGTGACTTGTCGTCCTGCCTTTTATATAGATAGATATTTTATTTTTGCAGATATGAACCCAAGACATCGGAATATCCAGGACTAGCAATGAAAAATGAAAAACAAACATCGGTTGAAAACCACATGCTGAACAGTTTAAAAAATCTATTTAATCTTCATAATATTAAAGAACCCTCGAAGGAATCATCCGTTATTGTTAACTGGTGTATTGTTTTATTCAGTAAGTATGGATTAATTATATTTTTATAGACAAAATTATAGCACACGGTCGAGCCATGTATTTTTCTTGCAGTATTTTTTATAAAAAAATTATAAAAATTACAATTGTTGGCAGAATAAAAAGAAAATAAGTCAATTTTGTAATTTATAAAATATTTTCTATTGGGAAAAAATTGAAAATTTTGGCGGATGCACTAGGAGCTCTCGAACATTCTCATAAATAATTTTTATTTGAATGATTTTCAGGTATCTTCTGTGCGCTATTCTGTGCAACTGTAGCCAATGGAAGAAATCTTGTATTCACTCAACCATTCTACATACTAGCATTTATCGTTACAATAATTGGCATGGCAGTATTGATGGTTATTATGGTACGGCAACCGACGACTGACGAAAAACTATCATTTAAGGTGCGTATGTTTAATTTTTAGAGAATTTCATCGGTGTGTTTAATAAAAATGTCATCATGATTAGCCGTTTTGGGTCCACTGCTGAACATAGGCCACCCGTTAATAATTCCATTGCATCTGATCTTGAATAAAGTTGTGCTGGATGCGCTTGATGTCGTGACCATCTTGTTGGATGACGTACTCGATTACAATAAGTATCGTGTGTAACGCAAAGGTCGTGGCATATTATCATGCACGTTGCGTTTCCAGCACGTAGCGTTTAGTTTCCGATAAATATAATTTAAATGGTTTTAAATATGAACAATTCACACTGTCCGGAACGTATCGTAACATACACCTAACGTTTCCGTTCAGTATATTCGAAAACAATATTTTACTGATGCCGACGGCTACGTAACGGGTCGTAATGTGAATTAGATGTCCGTCGATTTCCCTTCGTTGTTTATTTAGGTATTTGTTTGATTTTGATACAGAGTATTAAAAAATTAATTTTCGAGGCTATTTTGTCATTTATGCATGTATTTTCATTGCTTTGTGACAATTAAACACGAAAGTGATAAAATTAGGACTATTGCACGGACGTGACACCTTTTCTTTTTTAAAAATACTCTCTTAAAGGTGTGATTAAATTTAAAATATATTCAAACTGAATACTTATTCATTCTAAAATATCCATAATATTTTTTATCGTCATCAATTAATTCTTTGTATAAAGTCTTTCAAATTCACCTTTCTTTTTCCTTTCTCTTAACATTGGATGTACTTCAAACCTTCTTTTTACTACAGTTTTTCTTTCTTTCTCGTTAAGTAGAAGAGCAATTGCATATAATTTTTATCGCGACAAGCGAGATCATATCTTCACCGAAACAAACTGAAACGTTCTATATATGAAAATGTGAACGCGCAATCCGATTGCTGGAATGGAAACGCTACGTACCGAAAACTATACCTGCATGATAATATGCCGCGACCTTAAATTCAACTTCAAGCTACGGATGATGTATGCACATGTAACGGGTAGCTCTTTCTGGACGACAGACTCAGTAAAACACAGGTTGAAATTAAAATAAATCTATTGATTTAACGTATGTACAATAAAAATAAAAAGAAAATTAATTCTCCGTCGTATATACAATAAAAATAAAACGAATGCTTCGTTCCCGTCTGGATCCCGCGATGAGGGAATCCCTGGTAAACGTCTATAAAAGAAAGAAAAAGTTATTATTAATAACAAAACAAGTAAAATAGATGAAGTCAATCGCATGCAGACTTATACTCGCTTCCGCTTAAATTCAGCGGGAGCTCCGAACACACTCGCAAATTCGGCTATGCAGGCCCCACGGTAAAGTTCAATACACAATACCGATGGGTTCTGCTTGGTTAAGGACAGAGTATGATCCTCAATACGGAAATATCTCTGTCCGGGTTGGCTCACCGGTTCAGTGCACCGGCGAATCGAGGAGCCTAGAGCGCTAGCTACAAGACTGACTAATGTAAAAATAAAAATACAAAATAAAAAATAAAAATAAAAACATTTATTGCCCTAATAATATATACATGTCATAACTTAAAAAAATTTCAGCCTTCTTTCTTCCTGATGTTCCGCTTTTGCACCATCTTCTTCTGATTTGTTTTCCTCTCGGCATCCTGGACTTCTCTGGGTGGTTTCCTCGTCTTTTTCTGTAGGTACTTTTTATGGCATCGTACCTACTTCCCACTGACTAATGCCGCTACTCACATGCCTTAAATAGCCACTCCGAATCCCACTCACCATCTCGCTAAAGAGGTGGATGCGCCAACCTTGACACTCCCATGGTTTAAACTGTTAAACGATGAGAACATCGTTACACACACTGGAAACACGAATTTATTCAGGGCTATACTAGTAAATTAAAGATACAATATAAAATAGACAAACTTTGACAGATACAGATTATAGTACACCAATTTTTAAAATATAAAAATGATTTCCAAGATCGAGAGCTATTAACCACATAATACAGTATGTATGCAGATAAAAGAAAGATTATAAAATTACCGTATTTGCCTTATTATCTTTCAGAATCTGATGTACTGCTGTCATCATTAATGTTAATAAGGAGAGGCTCAATTTGGGCTTCAAATAAATTGTCCAACTCCCACATTTTTGGCTCTACTTCTTCTTTTACATGTCTGACGCAGTTTTTCCATTTTCCATGGTTACAGCAGGTATAGCTTCATGGAATAAATTTTTAATGTCAGCAAATTTAAATTTTGTGTTATTGGCAGCAACATAATTCTTAACTTGCGTCCTCAAAAGCTCTATTGGATTGAGCTCTCAGAGGTACGGTGGAACCTTAACACTGTTCTATTTGTGCTTCCTACCAGTTCATCTACTACATACTTATTATATTCGCCTTTATGTTGTTTAACGATTTCTAAAAGTTGCATTTTTAACAGCGTTTCTTCAAAGTATTCGCGTTTTAACAGCGTTTCTTCAGCGTTCAATTTTTTTTGAGCGATGCCAATTTTGAATATCTGCCTTTTTTGTAGCCATGATGGGAATTTTTTACAATTTTCTGGAGAGGTAAGGAGCATTGTCTATCATAATTACGGCACTTTTTTCCAGTGTTGGTAAAATCTTTTGGAGCCGACTTTCAAATGACTTTTCATCCATCTTTTACTTTTGTATGGGCAGCATTTATCCATATCTAGTCCAAGTAATAAATTGTTCTATTGTTATGTCTATTTTAATACCTAATACACTGAAAGTTTTCACTTCATTTTAAAATTTTTTAACTACTATGGTATAGAGGCAATCCCTGGGAACTCCTATTTTAAGCGTAAATTTAGTAATACAGTTTATAAAAATTTAGTATTCTCCAGTGCATTATTTACATTTGTTTCAGGTACCTTTGGTTCCCTATATACCATGTATCAGTGTAGTCTTCAATTTATATTTGATGTTTGAGCTAGATTTACACACATGGATCAGATTTCTAGTATGGCTTGCTGTTGGTAAGTATTATTTAAATTATATTAGAGTCAAATGAAAGTGAAAAAAAAAACAGATTGATTTTGCACAGAAAATAAAATGAAAATCGCTCGGAAAAGTTGTGATCACAAAGTAACAGAGAACTCTCCAGATGGAAAAAAAGCATAAAGACCAGATACTAATAGAAAATAATTTTTAAATGCATGTTTACAATTACTCATAAACAGTATATAGAGTAATTATTTGAAATGAGGTTGAATGCTCAAATAAATGAACTTTGAAAATAAGGCTATTATCGAGCACAAGTTAATTAAATCTAGCCCAAGTACTTTCGCTTAAAATAGCATCTTCAGGGGCATTTCGTCAAAATATAAACTATCCGGCAAGCGTAGAATGTGAAAACATTAATAATAACATAAAATTGTACAAAACACTACACTAAAACGAGAACAAACAGTTTAAAATGACTTTAAAGATTCTACGCTACATTCTTTGTCAGTATCTGGAGGGATAATGATTAAATTATCGTTGCTTGGTTATTCCGTCTGGTCCGGGTGACTTTCCCTATCTCTACTTCCTTAAACTGATTTCTTTTTCGTGTCTTAAATTAGGTACGTTATTGTGTTAACGGTTCTTTGAGCCTTTTTTTCTTTTACAATGAGTAGGATGATAACCTGGTCAATCAACCCTCGCCTTTTATCTAGGCTTGCGCCCGCCTGTGGATATATTCAACCAGTTCTCGCGGTCATAACACCCAAGCAGAGTTGCAGAGTTTAGTTATAATGTTACATCTACTAATTAACATGTTATTTCTATTTTCAGGCTTCGTTATCTACTTCTCCTACGGAATACGACATAGCGCAGAAGGAGCAAAAGACAAAAAGCTACGAGAAATTGCAGAGCCAGCAAAAGAAGTCACCTCGTTCTGAGAACGTCTACCATCAGAAATTAGAAGAAAACTCAGCGAAATAAAAGTTGTTGTTTTATTCGTGCTACTCTAGAATCTGTGATAAAGAGTGCCTAGCATTTTAGTATTCCAACTGTTAGTGATTTTTGACTTTTAGGTTGTAAAAAATGAGTTACCCGTGATAGAAGATAGGAGTTAAAAGAGTAAAGGTTGCTAGGTTTGACAAAAATTTTGAATGTTTGATAACATTTTCAATACAAATTGGTTAAAAACTTGTCAAATGTTTGATATATTCTTTTAAGTAAATTTGATTGATTTATAGCAATATTTTTGTCAAATACTAGTAAATAACTTTTAAATAAATCCTCGCATTTTACTTACTACTGTTGATATTAAGAAAAAATGATATTCTAGAATAAAACTCGACATCTAACACTGCAATAAATCCAAAAATATACCTTGATAATCTCACTGTGACTCAAAATAAGACAATAAGGAAAAAATGTATGTCTTCAGCGCTATTTTCTGGTAGCATTGTACCGCGTAGCAATATATATTATTTATTAAATAATTATTGTGTATATAAAAGTTTTTTTAAGTAATGACAATAAAAAATAAAGAAAACATTTAAATATAAATTGTTTTTTTTATTTAATATCCCCTATCTGTATTTTTGATAAGTTTCTTGGTGTCTTACTGTATTGATAAGTTTTCGTCTTTTGAGTTGGTTAATATAAGAGTCAATATTGTTTCCGCCTCATTTCTTATCCTTCTAGTTACTTCCACGTATGACATTCTTTCAATCCATGATATTCGTAGGATTCTTCTGTAACACCAAAATTCAAAGACGGCCAACTTATTCAGATCGACTTGTTGTAGTGCCCACGCTTCCAAGCCATAAAGAAGTTAGAACGTAGTTCTAACCTTATATCCCGACAACAAAGAAACTTTTTAAGTTTAATGAATAATGAAGGTGTCTTAATTTCTTTGATTTGGTCTACATCTGATGTTATCCATGTTCCTAAGTATTTATAGTTATATTATATAGTCAATTGGAAATTTTTAAGTGCAGATTTAGTCATGATCATACATTTAGTTTTCTAGACATTGAAAAGTAGTGGGAACAGCATGCAACCCTGACGGACTCCTCTCTTTATTTTGATATTTTGGGTGTACTGACTGTAACTTCTTACCTTGGCAGTTTGATTCCAATATAAATTAGATATAATTTTCATATCACGACTGTCAATAGTTTTGCTTTTTAATATATCTACAAGCTTTTTAGGTTGAACCTGATCAAATGCCTTTTCAAAGTCTACAAAAACATAAGTACCTGTCCTGATTCATGTCCATGCATCTCTGAGCCCGCACATTCAAGCCGAACAAAGCATCTCTTGTACTCATACCATTTCTAAAGCCAAATTATGTGTTACTAATTTCATATTCAAAATTTTTAACAATTCTACTGTGAATTATGTTTTAAGTGTGTGAGAAAGAAGAATTATCTTTAAGTCATTAAAGCTATTGTGCTGTGATCTAATATCCCCTATTTTTTTATGTTTTTTTTTTATTTAATATCCCCTATCTGTATTTTTGATAAGTTTCTTGGTGTCTTACTGTATTGATATGTCACGCCCAAGGACACTAAACATAGATAGGATTGATTTTATCCTATGTTCTTAATATAAGAAATGCGTTGTGTTGTGTGTGACGTAAGCGTGGGGATTCGTGGTTGACATTTCTTATTGTTTTATATAGAACAGTTGTGCCTGCTGCCAATTTTGTTGTTGTACTAGCGATTTAACGGCCTTATAAGACTATTTAATTATTGTTTCTATATCAATTTACTTATATAAACAAAATGGGTCGTAATATACAGGGTGTCCCAGACTAATTTACCCAGGCTATATCTCTTAAACTTATAGAGATTTTCGAATGGGACAAAAAGTGATCTATTCTACTTCTAAAACACTTTAATATGCCGTAGAAAAAAATCATCCCCTATATATTCATCCCTTAGTTACAACCCCTAACTTTAATTTTTTTAATAGCAACCTGTATATATTTTTTATAGTTTTGGATGTGGTCTTCTATCGTCTATTCAACAGATTTATTAAAAATAAAATCGGTTTGTAAATAATCAAGAAATCAATTAATTTTTTATTTTTGTTAATTAAGTGTCCCGGACTAATTTATCAAGGCTATATTTATTAACAAAATAGAGATTTTTAAAGGGTCAAAAACTTTTCTATTCCATTTGTAATACACTTTAATATAGCGAAGAAAAAATCATCCCCTAAATATTCATCCCTTAGTTACAACCCCTAACTAAATTTTTTTAATAGCATCCTGTACATTTTTTTTTTAGTTTTGGATGTGGTCTTCTATCGTCTATTTAACCGATTTTTTTTACATAAAATGGGTTTGTAAGGTATCAAGAAAATATCAATTTATTTTTTATTTTTGTTAAATTAATCAAGATAGCCTTTAAAAAATAGAATAGAAAAAAAATATGCTTTATTGTCACTGACATTAGATAAATCGTCAATATTACAAAATAAAAGAATAAAAGAAAACAAAAACAATTTTGCAAACTTTAAATAAATTGCACATTGAACATACTACTCGTACAAATAAAATACAGCCTTAAGAACAATAAAATTTAAAGGAGCAATAAAACTAAGGGATAAATATTTAGGGGATGATTTTTTCTTCGCTATATTAAAGTGGATTACAAATGGAATAGACAGTTTTTGACCCTTTAAAAAATCTCTATTTTGTTAATATAGCCTGGATGAATTAGTCTGGGACACTTAATTAACAAAAATAAAAAATTAATTGATTTCTTGATTATTTACAAACCGATTTTATTTTTAATAAATCTGTTGAATAGACGATAGAAGACCACATCCAAAACTATAAAAAAATATACAGGGTGCTATTAAAAAAATTAAAGTTAGGGGTTGTAACTAAGCGATGAATATTTAGGGGATGATTTTTTTCGACGCCATATTAAAGTGTTTGACAAGTAGAATAGATCACTTTTTGTCCCATTCGAAAATCTCTATTCGTTTAAGAGATATAGCGTGGGTAAATTAGTCTGGGACACCCTGTATGTGCTATATATGGTCGTGACAATAATTTTAAAAGTGTGAAAACCAAGAATATGCCTGTTATTTTTCAGTTTTCGAAAAGGAAAGGATATATAGTGTCGAAAACTATAAGGGCTGAATGGGTAACCGATGCAGAAGAGCTGATAATTTTAATCCTGATCTAATCTAGTAGAATATGCTCTGTAAATTTTAAAAACAATGACTATAAAAGAGATGTTCAAAAGAATTATTAGGTAAAATAAAAAAAGCAATAAAACGCCTATAAAAATTTTTTAACGTAATTTATTTTAGGTTTACCTACTAAACGCCTTTAAAAGAAAACTGCAGTTCCAACACTTTGTTTATATATAAACATACCTTTGACACACCTTCTGTCTCTGAACAGAAAGCAACTTGTAGCAGAAATTACAAAGGTTGATTCAAATATTCTAAATATTGCATCTAATCAACATGAACATACTGTTACTGAATCTGAAATAATTTTTGAACAAACTGGTGACAATATAGATTTAAATCCTGAAGTAGATTTTGAAGCAAAATACAACGAATTATTAAACAAATATGAAAAATTAATAGTAGATCATTCCAATTTGAAGAAAAAGAGTCAAATGAAAATAAAAAGTTTAACAAGTCAGTTGAGGTATTCTAAAGCAAAAAATATGAATTTTCAGAAAAAAATCAAAAAAATCTGAAATTTTTGCTGAAATTTTGTTAAATAAAGTGTTAACCACAGACGAAATTACACTTCTTTCTGAGATATATTAGTCCAAAAGTATTCCAAAAAGCCAATCTTAAAATTCCTCAAGAAAAAAATAGAAGAACGTGATGAATCTAATAATAGTAGTTCTTTCTCTTCCCAAGAATCATCTTCTAATCAGTCTGCCACCTCATATTGGGTGTCAGTAATTTGCAGGAAACTACAGAAGATATCTAAGAATACATTTCTGGGTATTTGGCAAAAAAATTTAAGATAGTTTACCTGATTTAGGTAATTTCACATATAAAGTTAGTTATAGTTTACCATCATGGGTGCAGCAACTCTTTTATGGAGGTCTTATCAAGCCTACAGATGAGTGGTTCATAAAAATAAAATTATGGTTAATCCATAATTATGATTATTATCCAATATGATGAAAAATATACCTGAACAATAATGGAGTTGTTGGAAACATTTCAAAAAGCATTTAAAAAAAAAGAAAAAGTGTTGCAATATGCGTTTACTAAAATATTTAGAATAAATTATAGAAATTTAAAATTCAGGGAAGCTGAAAATTTGAAACAAAACACTTATCCGTGTTGGATTCAACTAGGTCAAAAATTAGAAAATTAAATAAAATTGTTCGGTAGGGAATGTTTTTAAAGTTTCTTAGTATTGTTTACTGTTTAGTTTTACCTATGTATGTTTATGAAATAAATGGTTCAGTATTGAATAGTTTTATTTATCATCAAATGTTTTGGGATATTAATTGATGCTCTGACTACGTAAGTAAAACACGGATTTACAGATTCTATTTACCAGAAATATTTACTTTGAGTGTAAACTGACATTTATTAATTTAATTATAACACTAGCAAATATTCATTTCGAAAATAAATTTTATTTGCCATGTAAAACATATCATTAAGAATTTATAAGTCTGAATGTCTTAGGAACTGTTAAAAATCTGATTATCTGCCATCTATTTACAAAAACAAAAAGTAAATTTTTCGTTTTAAACTTTTTAATATCAAATTATACTCATCTTCCCTAAAAGTCAATAGTGACAATAAGGTCGATAATTGCTTATCATCCTCACACCTACGTCACAGCCGCGTGTTGCAGTGACAGACAAATTTGGGCGATGGAACTATCCTATGTAGTCAACCGGTCTTGTGTCACGCCAATGTATTTAACCAAAAGTTGGATAGACTAGAAAATAAACTTAAAGCTTGATAATACTAATTTATCAATAAGCATAAGTCAAAAGACCTCTCATCGATGACAATTTATGGGAACCGGATACATGGATATAATTTACTTAAGATGCAAGAGCACTAGAAAAATCTTATAGAAGATTATTGATGAAACCGGTAATGATATGCCAAACAAACTATCTAGAAAACGGACATGCCTACAGGCATTGTATAAATTTTCGCAATCATAAATTCGTCAATTCCCGCACAAGATCAATGCACTAACATATAATATTGAGTTTATCATTTGTAAAAAAACTATTAGTGAAACTGTAACTAAACTGTTACTTGATGGAAATTCATTTTAGGTAGCAATAAAACATTGAAAACTTTGTTTTCAAACTTCCACAAAATTTATTTTAAATCTTATCACTACAGCTGTTTCGGCTGATTGCCTTTCTCACTTGAGAGGAGTAGCGTTACTAAATACCATATATAAAATTATATCAAAATCCATAAAAGATAAGCTGGAAAAAGAAGCTGAAAATATAATAGGCGAATACCAGTGTGGATTTAGACGATGGAGAAGCACAACGGACCAAGTATTCATAATCAGAGAATTACAAGCAG